GTCGCCCCAGCGATGACGCTCGGCTGCATACCCAACGGGCCCAGGTCCAGGATATATGAAGTAGGGTTTTTATTTCTTGTATCCCCAAAGAGGCCACCAAGTATATACACTCACCAATATTAAAAAGAAACCTTATATACACTCACCAGTAACAGTAATACAGAAACCCTGCTTCATATGAAGCGGGATCCTATCTCTTGGCACCCATATACATCCTTCGGGGCTTGGTACTGTACATATCTGGTTCTTGAGCCACAAGCACAGGTAGTAGATACTTCAACCCCAGGGGGTATATTCATATATCATGAATGCCTATAAACCGTGTTGATGTTGTGAAGCAAATGTAGTGCACTTAATCCTCAAGAGGGTATACTCATATATCATGTTTGCCGAATTTGTTGATGTTATGATTTGCATTATATATATATATATGTATACTATGTATACACACACCGAGTTCGTATGTATTGTTGTACTGCATTTCCAATGTCTGTATACATGAATTTCCTTCATATTTACATATTTACCCCCCCCCACACATCTACAGATACAGACATGTTTATGTGTGTGTATATATATATGTAGATATGTGTGTCACGTTTATTAGTATTTGCATGTTGCTTTCATTATGTTCTCTATGCTTGCGAAAAGCTATATACTGTTGCATATTCACAAATGCATGTATGACATATACCACACGCACTACATACGCATGATATCCTGAGGCGCTGAGAAGCCATGTGGCTGGTTTGCTTCTACCGGCTTGTAACGGTTTAGGGTTTAGGGTTTAGGTTTTAGGGCTTAGGGTTTAGGGTTTAGGGTTTAGGGGTGCCTGCGCTCAACCACGCACTGACCAGAGTCCTATGCACCTAGAACAAAAATTGGTTTCAGCGGCAGGCGAAAATATGAACCCCTTCTCTTAGTCCCAAAACCTTCGCCATGGAATTCCTGCGTGCCGATTCCAGGCTGAAAATCCATTGAAGACTTAGGGTTTAGGGTTTAGGGTTTAGGGTTTAGGGTTTAGGGTTTAGGGTTTAGGGTTTAGGGTGGACATCTGCTTTGTTTTCTTCTCTACAAAAGACATTTCTCCACACGATTGTGAGCAAACGCACCCTACCTGACTCTTAGAGCTGCACGTCTATGCATGCTTACATGCACATTTAGGGTTTAGGGTTTAGGGTTTAGGGTTTAGGGGTTAGGGTTTAGGGTTTAGGGTTTAGGGTTTAGGGTTTAGGGTTTAGGGTTTAGGGTTTAGGGTTTGTGCGCACTCTGCTTTCGTATGATTCAAGGCTGATAATCGCTTCTTCTGGCGCAATCCTTTGTTTTTATGCAGGTGCTGGAAACCCTAAACCCTAAACCCTAAACCCTAAACCCTCAACCCTCAACCCTAAACCCTAAACCCTAAACCCTAAACCCTAAGCCACGCAAACGCTAGCAACCCCACAGGCCAGAGACTCAGACTCTTTTTTCTTGAAGGCCTTACAAGCCCTAAACTCATCAAATTGAGCTGCAAATGTGGGGGGGGGGGTTCCGATATTGGGGGTACCCTTTTGGGGTCCGTATGATAAAGCGAATCCAACAATTTGGGGGTCTATCTTTTGGGGGTCCCCCCTCCCAATTTGGTAAACCCTAAACTCTAAACCCTAAACCCCAGACCCTAAAACGCCCTTTTAGGTCCAGGTAGAACCTCAGCTTTCAGGAACAGCGGTCGCCGGATGGCAAGTGGATCCGCCTCGGTGGTGATGCCAAGGCCGGTTCAGCGTTTAGGGCTTAGGGTTTAGGGTTTGAAGGTTTAGGGTTTAGGGTTTAGGGTCAGGCTTCAGGCATGTACGCCCTGTAGTAGCTGACTTTGATTATTCAGGGGCAAAGTTGCCGTTATTTCATTGTTGCTCGTTTTCAACCGCCTGTTGTGGTATTGCCTGCGTCGTCCGTGGTTCCAGAAGGTTTGAGTTCAGAAGAACCTCGCCTCTACCTCCATCGCTGATTTCGTTCCCCTGGGGCCATGGCTGGGGGCTTCCGAACTGTTCCGAACTTAGGGGTACCTTATTAGGGTCCTTATTATAGGCAACTATAAGGGAAAGCTAGTATTTCGGGTCCATGTTTGGGGTGCCTCATCTTCGAGAAGGGAAGTGCGCTTCCTATTCTTTATGGATACTATTGGTTCCTTCAGGCACACTATAAGGGAAAGCTAGTATTTCGGGTCCATGTTTGGGGTGCCTCATCTTCGAGAAGGGAAGTGCGCTTCCTATTCTTTATGGATACTATTGGTTCCTTCAGGCACACTTGACTTCAGAGCTTTTGAGGTTTAGGGTTTGCTGTTTAGGGTTTACCCTTAAACCCTAGAAAAACCCTAAACACCCTAAAAACCCTAAAGACCCTCAACCCCTTAAACCCTGCAATCGCTACAAAACCCTAAACCCTAAACCCCCGTAAGCTCTAAACCCTAAACCCTAAGCCCTAAGCCGTAGACTTTAAACCCTAAGCCCTAAACCCTAAACCCTAAACCCTAAACCCTAAACCCTAAACCCTAAACCCTACGTCCTTTGTCAACCGTTGCTTTTGGGCTCTGCAGGTCTGGACAGAGCTCGGCTCCTCGACCCCGGACTACGTGGCAGTGGACCGACAGGAACGGGTTTAGGGGTTAGGGTTTAGAGTTTAGGGTTTGGGGTTTGGGGTTTAGGGGTTAGGGACTTAGTCGACTACGGTTTTGGGGTTTGAGGGTCAGCCTGCGCTCTCGCAGATGAACACCCTCTAGCTAGCAGATGGGATTTCCTGCGACTCTGTTTACCCACAGTTCAGTAGTATCTACTCTTAATCAGTAGGTACCACCCATAAAACTGTAGGTACAGAGGGTCTCAGGTTTAAACTCGACCATAAAGTTGTTGCACGTTGCCTTGTCCATAGTGTGGACCCATTTGGATGTACCCCAAGGGCCCCTAAACCCTAAACCCTTCACCCTAAACCCTAAACCCTAAACCGCCTAAACCCTAAACCCTAAACCCTAGATAGGGCACACTTGGGCCTTAAAGTACTTCCTACATAGGGACTTTGGTGCCCAAGTACACAATAATGAGGTACAGGGTTTAGGGTTTAGGGTTTAGGGTTTAGGGTTTAGGACCTGTAGGGCTTCTGGGTTTTGGGGTACTATACTTTAATGTTGTTTTTTTGATTCTGGGATCCTATTATAGGTACTTATACCTAGAAAGCAAATACTTTATGTCCAGGGTCTACTCCAAAGTAGGGTCCTAGACCCTAAACCCTAAACCCTTAACCCTAAACCCTAAACCCTAAACCATAAACCCTACTCCGAAGTAGGGGTATGCCGATCGTTTAGGTTCAGGCTTTGACATGGGAAGGGGCTGCTCGAGGTGGACTTTCTGGAAAACGGATCCACGGGAGGGTTTAGGGTTTAGGGTTTAGGGTTTAGGGTTTAGGGTTTGGGGTTTGGGGTTTGGGGTTTAGGGTTTTAGGGTGTGGGGTTTAGGGTTTTGGGTTTGCTCAGGCCTGTTCCTGCGTTTGATACAAGGGTTCTTGTGAAGATTCCACGGTGTAATGCTGCGATGGCAGAACAGCCATGCAAGGAGGGGCCCCCTTACTGTACTAACTATAGTTAAGGAACTTATAACCGAAGTTAGGATCCTTATAACCCAATTTAGGGTCCTTATAACTCTACTGAAAACCAAATTGAGGGTCCTTGTAACTCTACTTATAACTAGGGGCGCCCAACCTGGTAGAGCTCAGTGTAGAGCTCAAGGACCCTAAGCAGCTCCATGCCCCGCCCTTTTTGGAAGTTCGGTCCCCACACCCCCCCAAGGGTTTAGGGTTCAGGGGTTAGGGTTTGGGGTTTAGGGTTTAGGGTTTAGGGTTTAGGGTTTAGGGTTTGGGGTTTAGGGTTTAGGGTTTAGGGTTTAGGGTTTAGGGTTTGGGGTTTAGGGTTTAGGGTTTAGGGTTTAGGGTTTGTGGCATCTGGGATACTGGCCAACTCCATCCCCTTGCCGGACTTTGCCAAACTTCATAGGGTGTATGGTCCAGGCTCCAGGGTTTCGGGCTTCATTGGGCCAGTCCGACGCAAGCTCTCAGCCAACGTCGAAAAAAGAGGCTTATGCAGGCTTGCTGGCTTGCCCTACGTGGAGGTTCATGGTACTTATTAACCAATTATAACTGTACTTATAACTGTACTTATCAGTATATTAGGGCACTTAAGGGGCTTATAAGTGGGTTCTAAGTACAGTTATGATTATCATTGGTTAATAAGTACCATGAACCTCCAAGTATACGCCCCCGAAACAACCCTTAGTAAACCCGCGGGCTCCAGGTACACAAATAATACCTACATTGGGGTCGAACGTCTGTAAATAACACCTACTTCGTATTTGGAGCCTTAGGGTATTATCTAGTAACCCTAAACCCTAAACCCTAAACCCTAAACCCTAAACCCTAAACCCTAAACCCTAAACCCTAAACCCTAAACCCTAAACCCTAAACCCCCGTTATAGGGGTATCACGTGCGGCGTCTTTGAGGATTTAGGGGTCCCGCTGTTGGCGTGCCATTTTTGCGTCGGAGGCGTGCAAATTACCCCGGGCCATGGCTTCCACCAGTTTAGGGTTTAGGGTTTAGGGTTTAGGGTTTAGGGTTTGGGGTTTGGGGTTTAGGGTTTAGGGTTTAGGGCAAGTTTAGGGGTTAGGGTTTAGGGTTTAGGGGCACCCATCCGCCTCAAACAGGGGTAGATGCCAACCCGAGCCCAACCTTGTTCCCCCACAACCCTGACCCCAAACCCTAAACAAGCCTTGTAGGTTCCCTATGCTAGGGGCCCCTTTGGGTTCTCATTGTAGTACAAGGAGGGGCCCCCTTACTGCACTAACTATAGTTAAGGGACTTATAACCTAAGTTAGGATCCTTATAACCCAGTTTTAGGGTCCTTATAACTCTACTTACAACTAGGGGGGCCCCTCCTTGTACGGGCTCTGCCCCTTAGATAAATTGTTGCGCAACTCCTGCCATGGAGACGTCGGAGATCGAGGCTGAGGGTGACGCCGAGGAGCGTGCCTTTGCGGGAAGGGATGGAAGAGGGTTTTAGGGTTTTAGGGGTTTAGGGGTTTAGGGGTTTAGGGGTTGAGGGGTTTAGGGGTTTAGGGGTTTAGGGGTTTAGGGTTTAGGGTTTAGGGCTCATGCAAACTACGATCTCAGTATGTTTTCGGCCTTCGGAACCTCCTGAAGCTGAAGCGGGTTTAGGGTTTAGGGTTTAGGGTTTAGAGTTGAGGTTCTGTTGTGTTGCCCATTGTGATTGTCATTCGTTTGGATTCTGGAAGATACTCGAATTAAACCCCATGATTCCCAACCATCTCGAAACTGACGTTCTTCTCGGAAAAAAAAAACCGCCGCAATCTTGAGCCCCTCCAAACCGAGGCCTATAAACCAGCAGTCCAAGCTGGCACATTGGGACGTTCCCCCTTATACTCACAGTCCTTAATCGGAATATAGTAGGGGGCACGAATATTCTTATTAAGGGCTGTTGGTAGAATTCAGGGGCAGCATCGCAAGTGGCACACACAGAGGTGCCAACCGCCGGAAGCGGGATGCCCTGCGAGGACTGCCTCGATCCGGTGTAGTTAGTCGCCTGCGCGAAGATTCTGAAGAGGAAAGTCGCATTGAGAGGGAGAGAGAGCGAGAGAGTGAGAGGGCGACAGCGTGAGAGAGTGAGAGAGTGAGAGAGTGAGAGGGTGAGAGAGACAGAGAGAGACGGAGAGAGAGAGAGAGAGTGAGAGAGCAACCTGAGTTGCTGAACCGTCCAGGAGACAAGCCAGTTCAGTTCCTTAGTAGCTGCATGAGTACACGTTTACGCTTTTTGGGATGCTCTATCCCTATAAAACTGAAGCCTAAACCCTAAACCCTTAACCTTTTCTAATCCCTTGAACGTGTACATTTTTTAGGGAGCTTATATGACTCAGCAACTAAGGTTCTCGATGTTCGATCCGGTAGTGGCCTACGACGCAATTTCCAACAACTGGATCAACGTGGCCGAGGCTCAATCTTTCGAACTTCGCCCGTGTCCCGCAAGGCTTCAAGGATTGTGGGAGCTCAGAGCTCAGGGTTTGATCCCAAAGGTTTGGGGTTGATGGTTCTTTGTTCGACTTTGTCCCTTCCCGATCCGACATCATGTCCCTAAACCCTAAAACCCTAAACCCTAAAACCCTAAACCCTAAACCCGAACCCTAAACCCTGTACATATGAAAGACATATAGGGTTGGGCTTACCTCTAAAGGATTCCGATGTCTGGGCCCTTGGTTTGTATAGGGTATATCAGGGGTATATAAGGGGTCCCCTTGTAAGGGCGCATATTCAGGGATCATGCAACAACCTTAAGAAAGAGGGTTTGCAAGCCTTTGCTGGGTTCGCGACATTTGTGAGTGGGGTGCATGGTTGGACCTGCCGGTGTTATCGTGAACCCGCCAATAGGGTTTAGGGTTTAGGGATTAAATTGGGGCAACAGATTCGTGGAACTCTGTCGAACCAGAACCATTATGTTTGACCGCAGGATTCACACACAAATCGAACCACCATGCACATCTTCATCATGATTGCGCTCTCGTCGAAGTCTTGGTAGTTCGTTGGGGGGTTTAGGGGGTGGAGGGAGGGGTCAAGATCGAGTCCTCGCCTTGGGTTCTCCTCATTTTGCCTCAGCGCTTCCACGGCTTTTTTTAATTGAATAGGTCAAAAGCAAGTCATGCAAGCACTAGATGCTGCATGAAATTGACCTTGCAAGGTAAGTTCTATGGGAGTGATTTTGGCTGTCTGGCTGGTCTTACTAGACACCCGTAAGTTATATTTCAGTATTCTCGCAGTTAAGATTTGTGTCGTAGGTATATAAATGATGCCATGATGCCGTCCCCCCCCCCCCCGCCTCCTCCCAAAACAATTCCAGGCTTTTGAACTTCGATATAAACACAAAACCGCATCCGTTGTCATTCGTCGTTTACTAGTACTTTCCCAATTAACATATGTTGCAGTAGATATTGGTCGAACCCTATCGAGCCCCCAAATGATTCAGGGTTTAGGGTTTAGGGTTTAGGGTTTAGGGCTTGTTTCGAAAGTTTCGGCTTCTAGGCCTTCACGGTCATGTTGGCCCTTGGTTGCTACAGCCTGTGATGTTCCCCCCCCTTATACTAACAGCCCTTAAAAGGGATTATAGTACTCCCAAGTATAATCCCTATTAAGGACTGTTAGTATAAGGGGGAGCATCCCAAGCTACACCCCAGAGGTAGATACAAAGGCCCCCCCCTTAAGCTCTTGAGCCACCATCAACAAAAAATAGGCCGACAAGCTCCGGCACGATGGTTTAGGGTTTAGGGTTTAGGGTTTAGGGTTTAGGGTTTAGGGTTTAGGGTTTAGGGTTTAGGGTTAAGGGCTTAGGGTTTAGGGTTTACGGTTTACGGCTTAGGGTTTAGGGTTGTGGAAGACAGGTGGCAAAGCTGGGAATCCAAGCGGCCCACAAGAAGCTGGGCGTGGCACGAGAGGACTCTGAATGCATTAGGGCTGTGGCGGGGTGTCAGGCAACGTTCAAGGGATTAAGGCTCGTACCCCTAAGGTTGTCCTCCTAAAGGTATCCCTGAATATACTCCTAATATAGCCCTTTCACTGCCTTGAGGATCTTCACAGCCCAAGGGTACAACCTTAAGGGTCCAAGGTACAACTGGGAATGTGTCGTGCAACCCTGATGCGAACTAATCTGAGAGGCTGCCCCGGATGCTGGGGTCCAACCTTCGGGTACGGGTTTGTAATGTCGGGGTCGGAAGAATGACGAATATTCTTCCCTTATATTGGTCCCTACATAGTTGTACTATATGTTTGTAATGTCGGGGTCGGAAGAATGACGAATATTCTTCCCTTATATTGGTCCCTACATAGTTGTACTATATTCACCCCCCCCCCCCCAAAAAAAAAAAAAAAAAAAAAAACTACACCCTAAACCCTAAACCCTAAGCCCTTATTCTAATCAATGAGGCCCCTACTGCAGTAGGTATTTCAGGGTTCAGGGTCGGGGATGTTGGGAGCTTGGTCGCAAGCGCCTCCGGTTTAGGGTTTAGGGTTTAGGGTTTAGGGTTTAGGGTTTAGGGTTTAGTGACTCGACTCCCTCACCCCTACACTACCCGAAGCTACCTAGGAGCCTCCAGGCTCCCTAATTCCTACACCACACCGGAAGCCAGCTATATGGGCATTTCCCCCAATAAGGGTACCCCTTTTATACCCCCAAACAGAATAGAATCCCCTTAAAAAAGGGGCCCCCAAAAAAGGGTACCCTATTTTCGGCAGCCGAATATATGTGAACGTCCAAGCCCGCGCAAGCCTTAGCTCCAAACCGGAACAGGAGCGTCTGGAGCTGCAAGTCAGCTTAGACAACTTGCGCCAGCAGCTGAGGGGCATGCAGGCCAGGGTGGGGTCTAGGGTTTTAGGGTTTGAGGGCTTAGGGTGTAGGGCTTGAAACCATCAAGCTTCTGCATGAAGGGTATGCTGAGCCCCAAAGGCTCCATGTACCTTATTTTCATATACTTGGGCCCCAAAAGTTCTATGCACGCAGTACTTAAAGGCCCAAGTATTCCCTTTTTAGGTACATGGACCCCTATGGGAGTTCATGTCACTTTTGGGTCTTCGAACTTCCCTAAACCCTAAACCCTAAACCCTGAACCCTAAACCCTAAACCCTAAACCCTAAACCCTGCCTAATGGCTTCGGATTCCAGAAACGGCCTCAGACATGAAGCCTTAGCTCAGCGAACAGGGCCATGGAATGACCCCCTGGTTCTTAGTAGGGATGAGGGAATGCGTAGGGAATGAGGGAATTAGGGCCATATACGTATATATATATATATATGTATACCCTTTAAGGGATTAGAAGGGGTGCCTCATTCCCTCACTCCCTACGAAGAACCAGCCAGATAAAGAGGGCACGGCACGACACCATTCTGTGCGTTAAGGTGCCCCACGAGTGGCGAGCCCCAGAATTGAATTGAGGACCTGTTGAGGCCGTTGAGGCCCCAACTGGCTTCTGAGTAGGGAATGAGGGAATGAGGTACCCTATAATCTCGTAAAGGGTATATATAGGGCCCTACTTCCTTTTTTCCTTATAAGAACCAGGGGGTCAAAGCCTTAAAGAGCCCTACAACTTCTGCAGTTCCTTCCACCGCGCAGCATTGTGACTGCAGAGAGCCAAACACAGGCACCCCGGTAGGTTTAGGGTTTAGGGTTTAGGGTTTAGGGTTTAGGGTTTAGGGTTTAGGGGGTAGGGGGTTCCATTAGCACTTTCACGAACCAGCATGACTTCCATGATACGGGGCGCCCAAAGGACCTTTCTACCCTATGCTGTCGGGTCTCTCGAATATGAGGAGCATCACGTCCACCAGATGGATATAATGAAGATCCGGCTCGAAATCCTGGAGAAGATTGCGAGACTTTGATTTCAGTGATGTTTGTTCAATACCCGGCGTCGATTCCCTCAAAAAAGGTTGCAGAGATTGTTCTAGGCATCTATCGGGCGGCAGTCGTCTTGAACCATCTCTTGGGGGCGTCTATTCTCGAGGAGAGCATGCAGTACAGGAGCCACAGTAGTTGCCAATAGAATCCCGCATCAATTACTACATAGCTGCAGCTGTAAGAAAGACTACCCAAGCTACCTTTTTCTGAGTAGAACGGTCTCCTCGTTACCTAGTTACTTACTGTTGGTTGGTAGGGAATGAGGGAATGAGGTGCCTTTCATAATTCCTCAAAGGGTATATAGGGGGATATAGGGTACCTCATTCCCTCATTCCCTACTAACCAACAGTAAGGTTAGGCAGACCGCATTCGTGCGGTTGGAGCCCATGGGCACGAGAGCCCTCAACCCAAAAGCATTCTCACCCCGTGAGGCTCAAATGTGTAGGACGTTGTGCGTTTCACAACAATGCCTAAACCCTAAACCCTAAACCCTAAACCCTAAACCCTAAACCCTAAACCCTAAACCCATTTGGGGTTTAGGTTTTAGGGTGAAGCCTTCACCCCTACACCATTTATAACCCTCAACCTCTCAAGGGCGAGGGCGCAGGCCTTGAATGAAGATGTAGGATTTAGGGTTTACTTGAGGTTCCCCAAAGGCTCCATGTACCCTTATAGTAGATACCTGGGCCTTAAGGTACCCTTATAGGAGCCCCTTTAAGGCCTAGGTATCTACTATATGGGTACATGGAGCCTTAGGGTTCGTGGGTGCTGTACTTATAAGTGGGGTTAGAAGTACCCTAAGTAAGGTTATGACTACCCTATTGAAAACCCCACTCATATGTACCCTTGAACCTCCAAGCAGGGTTTCGAGCCCTGACCTCAAGCTTTACCCACACAAGGAGGGGCCCCCCCCTAGTTCTAAGTAGAGTTATAAGGACCCTAAATTGGGTTATAAGGATCCTAACTTAGCTTATAAGTCCCTTATCTATAGTTAGTACAGTAAGGGGGCACCTCCTTCTGGAGCAAGCCAGAAGGCCTTCAAGGAAGCAATTGGGCCCACCCACCCAAAGGCTCCTATGTAGTACCTTTTTGGGGTAGCATATTGGAATCCCCTATGACTAACCCAAAAAGGAACAACATTGGAGCTTTTGGGCAACAACTAGGCACACTGTCAATTTTTCAGGTTGAAGAGGCATGGGTTCCGGTTAAGAGTTTCGGGTTTCTCGATATTTTTTGACAAATAAGACAAACAGGTTGGGGTGAAGCAGGGCTCAGGGTTTGGCTTAGGGCTCAGCGCTTAGAGTTAGTGAGGGTACGCTTCCGCACACCCTAAACCCTAAACCCTAAACCCGCAAGGAAGCGCAAGAAGAAGTACCGGAACGGCCAGGTGCCGACCACGGAGCAGCCAGAGCCTTACGGCTTACGACCCGCTTGCGTGTAGGGTTTAGGGTTTAGGGTTTAGGGTTTAGGGTTTAGGGTTTAGGGTTTAGGGTTTAGGGTTTAGGGTTTAGGGTTTAGGGGATTGTAGGGTTTAGAGCGTCGGGTTGGCCCGAAACCCTCCCTCGACCCTATAACCTAAACCCTACAACCCGTATTACCCTTCGCACTTTTTTTGTTTCTGAGTTCCCTTCTAAAATGCCCAACCAACAAAAGGATAGCCTTATTATATCATTGTTACTGGGTACCTTAATCCACAACCAGCCCTTCTTGACGCACGAAAACCCAGCAAGCCAGAGACCTGAGCCCCAAGCACTGGCTGGCAAAGCCAGAGCTCGCTAGACCTTCCTCGCCTTTCCTTGACTCCCTAAACCCTAAACCCTAAACCCTAAACCCTAAACCCTGAACCCTGAACCCTGAACCCTAAACCCTAAACCCTAAACCCTAAACCGAATGAGGGCCCTTCTACCCTTTAAGGGGGCATATAGCGTACCTCATTCCCTCATTCCCGACTAAGACCCAGCCAGTTGAACGTGGGTTTGGGGTGCGTTCAGAGACCACCCTAAACCCTAAACCCTAAACTTTAGAATGCATACATGCCTTAAGCCGCATGATGTCAGGCTGCTACGGCCATATCCTCATTCCCTGCTAAGAACCAGGGAGTAAACCCCAAACCCTAAACCCTGATCCCTAAACCCTATACCCTCTTGAACCTTTACTTACAGGATCAGGGGGCTTAGCAAGTAGGGTTCTGATTAGGGCAACTCTAGCTACAACTACTTATAACCCCAATTAGGGTACTATAACCCTACTTACTAAGTCCCATGATCCTCCAAGTAACCCAACCCTAAAACAGGGGTCGGAATAATTACTAATAGTATTCCCTTATAGTCTCTATAGAATTTTACGATCAGAACCCCCAAAACCCTACTTCAATTACTTATTGCCCCTATAGTATACCCTCTTCAACCTTTAAACCCAAAGCCTCATCCCCAGGCTTGAGCAGCTGCCCCGGCATCGGATGTGACTCGCTTGCGAGTGGCTCCCAGGGCTTTCGCGGCAACAGGGGGCTTCAGCATACACACTTGATATGGGTTGATGATCTCTTCAAGCAGGGTTTCCGTTTTGTAGTTCATATACTCTTTAGGGTATCTAGGCGCGATCTGAAGCTATAAGGGTAACAGATAAAGAGGCCACCGGATTTTATGATGCACGCCCATAATATTCAAGGAGCACAGGGTAGTTACCAAACGTCGTTGGAGGTCCACCCATCCACAAATCTGATCCCAGTCATGCCTGGGTTGGACTGCCAAAAGTGCCGTGGCAGATCGCATGTCTGGATCAAGCATTCGCCAACATAGCCAAAAGCGTCACCCTAACCCCAAAAGTGAAACCCTGGGTTTAGGCTTTAGGGTTAAATTAGGGTTTAGGGTTTAGGGTTTAGGGGGTTTAGGGTTTAGGGTTTAGGGCTGAACCCTAAACGTTCTACCGTGAACCTTATAAGCCCTGAAACCAAAACTCAGCCCCGCGGCTGCAAATAGCCTCAGGACAATCCTGCCCCTGCGAACATTGAGGAACCCCGAGAAGCTCTAAACTTGAGAAGAAAGACCTAGGCAGGCCTTCGGAATATTCGATATGTTCCCTCATGGGGTTTAAGAGGGCCATCTTCAGGAACATATTTCAGAGGGTCTAAGGGCCATGCTAGACGAATACAATGAGAGAGGGAGTGGGAATTGAGTGAGAAAGAATGGGAAAGGAAGTGAAAGGCAAAGCCGTTGAAAGGGTTTCGAATTTCTTCTTTATTCTCACTTGACTATTCTCACTTGAATTTGCTTTCAAACCTTTTTTCCCCACTATCTTCTCACTTTTTGCTCACTTTTCTGCATTCTGATCCCACTTGCTTGGCACTTCGTTCTCATAAAAAAGAATTCTCAGACTAAAGGGCTTGAAGGGGATGATCTGAGGGTTTAGGGTTTAGGGTTTAGGGTTTAGGGTTTAGGGGTTCAGGGACTCGGGAGTGGGGTTTCGAGTGTCAACTGGCGAGTGTAGAAATATGCTCCTTAGGGTTTAGGGTTTAGGGTTTAGGGTTTAGGGTGTAGGGTTTAGGGTTTAGGGTTTAGGGTTTAGGGTTTAGGGTGGTAAATGTGCATGTGGGGGTGTCCCGTCGAGAGGTTTGGGTTTTCAAATGGTTCTTGAGTAGGCTAGCTACGGTTATAACTTATAACTGGTGATAGCCGTGTTTTGTTGCACTCAGAAAACTCTTTTTTTACATGCACCCCCCCCCCCCCCCTCCCCCCCCCCCCCCCCCCCACCCCCCGACCCCCACATCCGGTTGGTTTTGGGGATTACGTGTGTTGGTCTTTGGAAACCCTTACAGAATCAGGCCTTGTCCCGGGGTAGGGGGTTTCGGTCCGTTTAGGTCAGTTTAAGTCTCATGGACCGTTTAGACAAGGGGGCGCGGTTGAACTATAGTTGCCCCACCTACCCATGAATGCATGTCCAAGCATGTTCGCACTGGCAAGGCGACACCCAGAGGTCCTGATGATTTCTGATGTCTGTTGCATAACGCATCACAACACCGAAGGCCTCGGCGGACTAGGCCCACTCCCGCAAAGATAAGTTCGATGAACCCCGTTTTCCAGCTTGCAAAGAAGCCCAAGCGTCGTTCTCCTTAAGCGGACGCCTCCATGACTTCCCGCAACCCTAAACCCTAAACCCTAAACCCTAAACCCTAAACCCTAAACCCTAAACCCTAAACCCTAAACCCTAAACCCTATAAACCCTAAACCCTAAACCCTAAACCCTAAACCCCCCCCCCCCCCCCCAAGGCGTGGCGGCGAGCAGACCACGGGCGGTCGATCGTTGACCGTAAGCAGCTGGGATATGGGAGAATTAGGGTTTTGGGTTTTGGGTTTTGGGTCCGAGACTCGGGTTGAGGTTAGGTGTCTGCAACTCTGACCCCGAACTTGTCAAGGAGACCGGGTAATTGATTGTATTACAGGCTCTCGCGCTGTGGACTTTAGAGGTAGGCGTCAAAGCCAACCCCAGACTCATAAACTCACACCCCGAGCCGTGTAAGCCCAACCCCCAGGTCCTTTATAAACCCTTAAGGGTTAGGGTTTAGGGTTTAGGGTTTAGGGTTTGGGGTTTGGGGTTGAGGGTTTAGGGTTTAGGCTTTAGGGTTTGGGGTTTGGGGTTTAGGGTTCAGGTTAGTTTTGGGACATTGCAACACCTAAGCCCTGAGCCCGAGAGCCCTTAAACGCTAAGCGCCAAGGCAAGGAGCCCCCTCGTTCGAGCGTGCGCCCAAGCAAGCCGCGCGGTAGCGAGAGGCTCCACGGCCCTGGAGTAGGGACTGGGGCTTGAGGGAGGAGGGCGGGTTTAGGGTTTAGGGTTTAGGGTTTCGGGTTTAGGGTTTAGGGTTTAGGGTTTAGGGTTTGTATTCCAGCTTGTGGATTAACGATCTTGGCTTGGCTTGCATGGTCAGGTTCTGTAGAGGTGAGAGTCTGTGGTCCAGGGCTGAAACTTGGAGGGTTTAGGGTTTAGGGCTTAGGGTTTAGGATTTATGGTTTAGGGTTTAAGGTTTTGGGGGTAGTTGTAAGAAGAGTTGTAATTCTGGCAACTACACGCTAGTTAGCCCTGTTGAAGCTGCTTATAACCTTATTTGTAACCACCCCTGAACCTCCAAGCAGGTTTAGCTTTCAGCTTATGTATGGATCAAGGTTTGGGGGCGCCATTGTGTTCTCGTTGCCGTTTTCTGTTCAGGAGGCTAATTTTTGCCGACTTCCAACAGCTTGTGTTCTGGCTTAGACATCTGCTTAGGCACCTTGTAGAGTTCCTAAACTCCTAAACCCGAAACCCTAAACGGGCGACTCACACTGCCTTTCTAGACCCCTCCCTGAAGAATCCTACAAGAATCATTGGTTGCCACGTCGAAACAGGGCCCGAGGCTCGGCCAGGCAAGTCGGTAGCCTGAGAATTGGGGGGTGTCCTAAGCTTAGGGGTGCCTTTTTTGGCGTTCTTATTACAAGGGAACCCTACAATTCGGGCTTATTTAAGGGGCCCCGTACTTTCGTAAACCTCTATTCGGGTTTAGGTTTTATTTTTATTTTTTAATTCGGATTAGGGTTGAGCATGTTTTCGCGAATCGCGCAGGATTCTGGGTTTTGAGTTTGGAGACTAGGGTTTCGGCGAAGCCGCAAGCCCCAAACTGCAACCCGCCCCCCCCCCCCCCACTTAAAGCCAGTAAGCCCGAAGCTCCCAAAGGTTTTAGGGTTTAGGATTTAGGGTGTAGGGTTTCAGGTTTTATGTTTGGGGTTGGGGGTTTAGGGTTTAGGGTCTAGGGTCTAGGGTTTAGGGTTCAGGGTTTAGGAAGCTTTCAGGCGATCCGGACAGCAGCGCGACAGCCTGAGCCACTTCCTGAGCCAAGAGGCTCCTCCGACTTCTGAGCTGTAAGGCTTTTAGGGTTTGGGAAACCCTAAACCCTAAGCCCGAAACCCGAAACCCGAAACCCGAAACCCTAAACCCTAAACCCTAAACCTAAACAACCCCTTATATGCTTAATACAGACCTAGAACCATGCCTTACTATCTAGGTAGACGGACCCTTTTTGACTGAAGATGATGTGAGCGCACAAGGAAGCCATGTGCCTCACGGGGTTTTGGTTACTGTTGGGCTTGGGCGACCTCGCACCTACCTACGACTTTTCACGCCCGGGTCATAAGCTATAGTGGTAGTAGGGCCTTAGGGTTTAATCCATGAAGCCCTGAAGCTTCCAAACCCTGAGCCCTAAACCCTAAACCTAACCCTAAACCCTAAACCCTAAACCCTAAACCCTAAACCCTAAACCCTAAACCCTAAACCCGCAGGAGGACGATGGGAGCTCCAGCGACGACTCCTCCGTTCAGGGCATTACCCAGGAGCAGCAGACGTTGCATCTTGGCTTTGCCCCCTGTAAAGGATCCTGGTACCTATGTGGGGGATTTCGAAATGAAGAGGTACCTTTTTGGAATTTAGGGTTTAGGGTTTAGGGTTTAGGAACCTCCATGGTACCTTTTTAGCTATATACTTGGGCCCTATAGCTACCGGGGTTCGTAAGGCTCAAGTAAGTATATGCTCTGTGGGTACATGGATCCCGAAGCTTGGATTGTCCCCCGGGTCTCTGTTTGCATGTTTACGGTTCCCCGGAGCCACCACCACCCGACATTCTTCGTGGACCTGAAAAACCTAAAACCCTAAACCCTAAACCCTAAACCCTAAACCCTAAACCCTAAACCCTAAACCCTAAACCCTAAACCCTAAACCTAACTCCTAAACCTAATTAAACCCCAAACCCCGAAGTCCTCAGAACCCTGCAAGCTTGAAGCTTCAGTTACGTGCTCCTCTCAAAGAAGCGCCAACCCGGCTTCATGAACAAAAGAGATCGCCTGAACTCTAAATACCCCGACGCCCTACAACTTACAACCCTCAACTCTAAATTAAACCCGGAGATATCCTAAACGCTAAACCCTAAACCCTAGTGACTTTCTGCAGGCCCAGGGCCAGGGGTTCAGGGTCAGGTTGCTGGCTTTCAGGTTTTCACTTTGCATCCCCTGGTTCATGGTAGGGTTTAGGGTTTAGGGTTTAGGGTTTAGGGTTTAGGGTTTAGGGTTTAGGGTTTAGGGTTTAGGGTTTAGGGTTTAGGATTTAGGGTTTAGGGTTTAGGGTTTAGGGTTTAGGGCCAAAAACTTTAGGCTTTAGGATTTAGGGTTTAGGGTTTAGGATTTAGGGTTTAGGGGTCCGGGTTTCAAGGGTTCATGATTAGGTTTAGGGTTTCCCTTCTCCCCCTGTGGTTGGTGGTGGGATTGGGTTCAGGGCATAGGCTTGCCCTCTTCCCCCCTGTGATTCGTGGTGGATTTAGGTTGCGGGCTGAGGGTTGTTGGTTGTTGGGCTTTCCCTCTCTTTTTGTGGTTCGTGGTCATGTTTGGGAGGGAGAGTGGGGGGCCTCGAAACTTGTGAGCATCCATGAGCAATCTCAAGGATGGACAAGATTGAGCCGCTGGGGAGGCAAGTCGAGGAGCTCAAGACAGGCGCGTGCGCTTTAGGGATTGTAGGGTTTAGGGTTTAGAGATTGCGGGGTTTAGGGTTTCGGGGGCTTAGGGTTGAGGGTTTAGGGTTTGGGGTTTAGGGTTCAGGGTTTAGGGCTTACAGGGTTTAGGGCTTGCAGGGTTTATGGCTTACAGGGTTTAGGGCTTGCAGGGTTAGGGCTTACAGGCTTTAGGGTTTACAAGGTTTGGGGTTTACAGGGTTTAGGGCTGGGTTTAGGGCTTGCTGGGCGTTAGATTTTTGCGGTTGGGTTTCAGGCCTTTTGCTTTAGGATTTACACACAACAGGACAGGACCAGAGTTCCGAGAAAGCGACCTCCCAAACTGTAGTTCCTCGTTTTGGCTAGGAGCTTAGGGCTTCAAGCTTTGCCAGGTGTTTTCTTTTGAGGTTTAGGGTTTAGGGTTTACGGTTTAGGGTTTAGGGTTTAGGGTTTAGGGTTTAGGGTTTAGGGTTTAGGGTTTAGGGTTTAGGGTTTAGGGTTTAGGGTTTAGGGGTCACAAGCAACTCCCAAGTCTCCGGGACGTAAAACCCGTAGTGGGAAAGCCTCAGCCAAGTAAGTTCCCAAACGCCCCACATCCCCAGTTGTTCCCTCCTTTTCTGAATCCTGCTCTCCCCCAAGTCCCACTCCAAATTTTTGGGTTTAGGGTTTAGGGTTTATGGCCAAACCCTCAAAACCCTCAACCCTAAACCCATGGGAGGCTTGAGAAAGGAAGGGCAGAAGTCGGACGCACTTCACAAGCAGATCGACACTTGTCTTGAAGTTTAGGGTTTAGGGTTTAGGGTTTAGGGTTAGGGTTTTAGGGTTTAGGGTTTAGGTTTAGGGTTTAGGGTTTAGGGTTGTTTGTGTGATCCAGGATCCTAAGCAATCTCCAATATTCTGTATACCCTTCGAATCCCTACATCGTATCCTTAGGCTCAAAATGGCCCAAAAACCTTATATAACAGGGCCTTCTGGGCCCAAAAACACTGATATAAGAATTCTTGGCGCCATTTTCGGTAATCAAAACAAACTACCTGTTCTGCTCCTGCTGTGGCCGACACCAGTGCAACATGTCGGGACCCTTGCCCCTATAAGGGGAGGTATAAGGGGCGCATAAGAGACCTAGAAGTGGCTAAATCCTCCCCCAATCCAGCAGAAGAGCATAGAAGTGGCGTTCATCGTGGTGTTTTTGGTGGGAACCTGGCGAGAGCTTAACGCTTTATCCTCTTTGGTGATGCAGGCCGTTCTGAAGTCCGGCCGTGCTGGTAAACGTAGAATGTGCATTGTAGTCCTAACGCGAGTGTTGCGACTCTGGCGTATAGCTTGAGAACCCTATATCCCGTTCAAAGTTTGGAGAACTCAGCTAGATCATGTATGTGTACCAAGGTACATACATACATACATACATACATACATACATACATACATACATACATACATACATACATGTACATATATATATATATATACTGTGTATATATATATATACATACGCAGAATAGGCTACCCTGGCAATCTGTTAGGACGCAAGCTGTCCAGGCAAAGCAGACTCACCACATTGACATGCTGGAGAACCGAATCAATGACGAGCTGAGCACCCGAGCCCTCTCGCTGCTCTTCAGGTGCACAGGGTAGTGGGGTTTAGGGTTTAGGGTTTAGGGTTTAGGGTTTAGGGTTTAGGGTTTAGTCCAACCCACAGCTTCCCCCTAGTTTAGGGTTTAGGGTTTAGGGTTTAGGGTTTAGGATTCAGGGTTTAAGGCTATTCTAAGCCAGACCCTACAATCTTCTACATTGCGGTCGTTTGTTCCAACCTCGTGAGGCCCCCAGGGGCCCCACGTACCCGTCTAGCAGAAACTTGGACTCTTAAAGGGCTGCCTATATCATGAGAGCTTTTGGGGCTATATTCACATACTATAAGCGTACATGGGCCCTTGGTTCTTCAACACCTTGAGGAAGCCTTTACAACTTCAGCCCTCGAGCATCTCCCGCGAACAACGAGCCAGGTTGCGCGATGTTTGGGGTAATTAGCTTCGGGGGAACAGCGAAGTCTTTAGGGTTTAGGGTTTAGGGTTTAGGGTTTAGGGTTTAGGAGCCCATGTCTTCGACAGCACTGTGGGGTTCGACCTTCATCGCTCTCCACAGAGAGCTAAGACGCATCAGAGTGGCAGACATGGGATTTGTGACTAAAGTCTACCCTAAGGCTCCATGTACCTTATTATTATATACTTAGATCCAAAAGTCCTTATATAGGAAGTACTTTAAGGCCCAAGTATTTCCATAATTAGGTACATGGACCCTTAGGGCTAAACAGCCCAAAAAAGAACGGCAGCCACGAATTTTGTTCTTAGGGAGCAGGGCTTTTTGGGGTGGTCTGTTAGTGAGGGCTTCTTGTGCTCAGCCAAAGAGGAACAACCTTCGAGCCTCATGTTCCATGGAGTTTAGGGTTTAGGGTTTAGGGTTTAGGGTTTAGGGTGCAGTTCATCCGCAAGTCCATACCTAACCCCTCATGTGATGGTTTAAGGTTCAGGGTTTATAGGGTTTAGAGGTCCGAGTCCATACTTGGAGGTTCGTGGGTATTTATCAGTAGGGTGACCATTGTGGTCACTATACTTATAAATCTATTTAGGATACATATTTAACCCTTACTTAGAATTACCCATTAACCTCCAAGCGCCTGTAGCCCTAATGTGAGGGGGGTTTAGGGTTACCGCCTATGTGCCGAGCTTCTAATTTCTAATCAACATCTGCCAGGCAGGTGGTCTTTACGGACTTGCCCGCGACGCTCGAGAACTTTGTGCAAGACAAGATGCTGGCAAGGACCTTACTGAGGGTTTGCGGCCCTAAACTTGGGCTGTTCCCCCGTATGCGAACAGTCCTTAACAAGGGATCATAATAGGCGCTAAGATCATCCCCATGAAGGAGAGTCAGTATAGTATTGTGAGGGGGAACATCCCAGCCCTAAACCCTCATATAGGGCTGGAAACTTCAGAGCTGGATGAGCCTGTCCCAACAGAAGCCCTGCGCGCCCTGCGCCTCTTGAACCCCATGCACTGACATCTTGGACTGCGGAACATGGACAAGGTACATGAGTCTTTTCTGCAACCTGTTCACTGAAAGTACTATACCTGAAGGGTTTAGGGTCTATAGGGTTTAGGGTTTAGGGTTTAGGGTTTAGGTTTTAGGGTTTAGGGTTTAGGGTTTAGGGTTTATACCCGATATGGTATGGCCCGAAAACTTAAACCCTCACGCCTAAACCCTGAACTCTTGAGGATTTAGTATTTAGGGTTTAGGGCTTAGCGCATAGGAACATTGCTAGGCAGGCCTTTTTGGATATCTCATACTGTCCTTTTAGCAATAAGAATTCATATGCTCCCTTATTGGGTTTAAGAGGTCCATGCTTGGGAATGTATTTTTCGTAGGGCTTTGAGGGCCATGCTTGGATTATCGATCCGCATACGTCGGCTCAGGGACTGTTTGCCTCCTAGGACCCGGAGTAGGCCCTCATTCCTTTTTGTTAAAGGGTATTGGGGCTCCCTTTACAGTCCCCTTTTAACCGAAAAAGGGCACCCTGTTTATTCCTAGGTTCCTCTTGGGTCACCCTAAACCCTAAACCCTAAACCCTAAACCCTGGGGGTCTAGCCTCTGACGAGTTGTAGCCATGGTTCGGCACTTGCAGCTCCAGCACCGGAAGCATTCTCAACTGGCTGCCGTGTACTATAGGGGTCGGAAGAGTTACGAATAGTATTCCCTTGTGGTCCCTATATAGCTATACTAGGGTTTAGGGTTTAGGGTTTAGGGTTTAGGGTTTAGGGTTTAGGGTTTAGGGTTTAGGGTTTAGGGTTTAGGGTTTAGGGTTTAGGTTTAGAATCACCCCCAAAGCCCTATTCTAATTATCAAGGCGCTTGTATCAGCTGTCACACGCCTCGCAGCCCCACTCTGAGCGCCCTTCCCGTGCAGCCCATTTGGCAGCTGCTAGTGCAAGCCCTTGTCACCTGTGTCCAGCCTGCTCTCCCCCTGCCACTGCTTGGATGATCCGCGTTTGGACTGTTTCTGGGGAGGAGGCAGGTATGGGGTGTGAGGTATAGTTGATTTCGGGCTCAGGAATTAAGGACCACAGTTGTTACTGTTAGCCACAGCAGTTGCAAAGTTTGCTCCAGCAAAGAATCACACCATCTTGGTTTTGGCACGCACTCTAGTGGCCCACATTCACTGCACGGAGGGCCCCATGCGCAAGATTTGTTTTTCAAAGAGACCTGACATTTCCGCATGATCCCTATACAAGCTATAGAGATCTTCCATTGATTCCTTTCCAGGTGGCCTCAGTTCCAGTGGACGCTGGTTTCGACGTGCTTGCCCTGAAGCAGCATCTGCTCAAAATCCATGCAGTGCCACGCTTTAGGCAGAAGCTCCTGCTGCACGGCGTGAGTCTACAGGAAGACGTACTGCTGGACTCGCCGATGGACCTACAGCCACCGGGCAGGTTTAGGGTTTAGGGTTCAGGGCTTAGGGGAGAGAGAGAGAGAGAGAGTGAGAGATAGAGAAGGGGTTTAGGGTTTTTGGAGAAGTCGTCCCTAGACTTACGTGGTGCGAGCCCCAAAAAGCAGTCCAAACAACGATTGCTGCAACTCAGCACGCCGCACGACCTTTTGCGCCTAACAAGCAAAAGAAGGCATTAATGCTGACGTGGCTTTTAACACGGCACGCCGCAACAAGACGTTGGAGCCTCTCCTTTTCCTTGTCTGGTTTCTTCTGAGGCTTGACTCCTAAAAACTTTGAGAATTCCAATTTCTTGCCGGACGGAAAGAAAGCAACCTACAGTAACCTGTATACCCTTAAAGAAAGGAAATCAACCCAACGATTTAGGTACGTTCCCTTTTTCCACAGTACAGATGTCGCTCTACAAACTGTGGGTAGGCCATAGTTTTGAGAACTGATAAATTGGGTTCAAGAGAATCATATATATATATATATATAAGAAAAGACATTCAGAACATTTTTAAGGGACAATCGAGGAGTAACAGGGACCCTAAACGCCATAAACCCGACCCTATAAGCCCAGCGATTTAAGGCTTTACGCTTTTAGGGTTTATAGGGCTATTCCTGAAGTACGGGAGAGATCTGCTCAGGTTAGTTTTAGATCTAAAGATCTGCTCAGGTTAGTTTTGCTCCCCGTCACCAAAACCACGCCACAGCAAGCACGTCAACTACGCGCTGCTGTCAAGGGAGGCGTGGTGGTAGAAGTCGAAGAGGCGGGCGCGGGGCTTGTCCTGGTGGCCCAGAGGCACCCTTTTGCCCTCTTTTTTGTTGTTCCGATAAGAAATATCCAACCCCAAACATCATATGGTGATTGGGCTACCAACCCCAAAAATCATATGGTGATTGGGCTACATGGCTAGTTCTTTGTGAGGTTTTTACAGGGGCTTATCTGGGGTTTATATGTCTCTATTCGGTTTGTGCCAGTAGCCAGAGAGTCCAACCCCCCTTACTCAAGGACTAGACCTTGAAGCGTATAAGTTGGGATGTTCCCTCTTGGACTAACAGTCCCTAATAGGAGTTTTAATAGGGGGTACTATAATCCCGATTAAGGACTGTTGGGATAAGGGGGAACATCGCAATGAAGAAGGATCCCTTCATAACTTCAGGTATACTCCTTGAGCAAGGGGCGTTGGGCTCCATGGGTACTTCGCTGGCTCTGGCTCTGGGCTCGGAGCTAGCCAACCCCCTAAACCCCCTAAACCCCCTAAACCCCCTAAACCCCCTAAACCCCCTAAACCCCCTAAACCCCCCTAAACCCCCCTAAACCCCCAAACCCCTAAACCCTTAGCCAGGTGCTGCGTCAGGCCACAGATCCAGATGCCTGCGCTTATGGGAACTGCCAAACACCGCTCCTGGTCGCATCTGAGCGAGGCAATGTGGGGAACGCACAATGCTAGTTTCTTTGTGGTACTTTACTGTAACTTTAGATCCTTACCTTTCTGGGGTTTATTGGGTTTCTTATTAAGGCAGCTAAAATTTAATTTATAGCTACCCTCCTGAGTGCAGCCAAGGTTTACAAGGGCATATAGTTCCCAGGATATGAGCACCGGCTACTAGAAATCCTTATTCTAGGCAGCCCCAAAGAAGTGTACCCTGTCTTCGGAAGCCCACAACAAACAAAGGGACGGTTGGAAAAAAAACAGGCAATGTAGCCGCGGCGCGCGTGCTGCTGGAGGCTGGCGCCAATCCCGATGGGCAGGATGCGGACCAACGCACGCCTCTCTTTGAGGCAGCCACGGCAAGTCACATGGAAATTGCGCGCCTGCTGGTGCAAGCTGGCGCTGACGTGAATCTGAAGGAACTCTGTGGCTTCACGGCTCTGTCGCGAGCATCGCGCAGCTCAGCTGTTGCATCTAAGGGGGCTGTCGCCCGCAACCGACACGGCAAAGGCGACAAAGGTTTTGGCATGGGTGTAGGGTGTATAGGAGGGTGTATAGGGTGCACGGGAGTTTTTTGTCCAGACATACAGACAGACACAGACAGACACAGACACAGACAGACAGACACAGGCAGACACAGACAAACACAGACAGACACAGACAGACCCAGACAGAGAGACACAGACACAGAGACACAGACAGAGACAGACACAGTGCCTTGCACATCTTTGGGGTGGGGGGGGGGGGGGGGGGGGGGGGGGGGGGGGGGGGGGGGGGGGGGGCAAATCGTACGTGGCCTCTGAATGACTGGGGTCAAGGTTGGCATAGTTTTTCAGAGGCAAATCCGGGAAGCATGATACGGCGACATCTTGCCTTCAGTTGCAGGCAATGGTCAAGTGGAGTTGGTGCGCTTGCTCGTGGATGCAAGTGCTGACCTTGATTGCAGCAGCGGCGATAACAGAGGGCCTCTTGCTGAGGCCGCTGGTAATGGGCACTTGGCAACAGTGCGGCTGCTGTTAGATGCAGGCGCCAGAATGACGACATCCGCACTGGGGGAAGCATGCGCGGCGGGCCACTTGGAAGTGGCACAGTTTCTACTCGAAAGAGGCGCTGACAAGGACGGTCAAAGTGAGGGGCTCTCACCACTGCTGCTCGCTTCCCATGGTGGACATGAGGATGTCGTCACTTTGCTGTTGGAGGCAAGGGCTGACATGGAGGCTTGCGATAAGTACGGGCAGACGGCCGTTCTCGCGGCCACTGACTCGGGTTGGCTGGAGGTGGTCCAGGTCTTGCTGCAAGCTGGTGCAGACAAGGACGCGGCGTCAGAGGACGGCGTGACAGCCCTACAGAGTGCAGCCCAGGACGGAAACGTAGACATGATGCGTTTGCTGCTCGAGTTCGGCGTGGACGTTGATGCATCCGACGCGGATGGCCAGACCCCTCTTCTGGAAGCAGTCCTGGCTGAAAACCTCGAGGCGGCTGAGCTGCTGATCCAGCACGGCGCTGACGTGAATGCTCAGGACGATGATGGCATGGCGCCTCTTCTGGCAGCGGGTGAAGCTGGCTGTGCAGCGCTTGTGCGCCTGCTGGTGGAAGGCGGCGCCGACCCGAATCTGGCAGATCTGGGCAGTGCGTCGAGGCATGGCCACGCAAGCGTGGTGCGTGTACTGCTGGAAGCTGGTGCTGACAAGGAGGCAGGAGGCTCAACCCCTCACGCCCGGCAACCTGCATCCCCAACCCTTTCCCACGAACACCTCCCGACACCCCAAACCCTAAACCCTAAACCCTAAACCCTAAACGGCCCTAAACCCTAAACCCTAGACCCTAGACCCTAAACCCTAAACCCTAATCCTGTCTCCACCTCAGGCTCGCGACAGCGACGGCCGGACGCCTTTGCTCTTGGCCGCTGAAAGTGGCCGCTTACACGTGGTGCGGCTGCTGCTGTCGAAGGGCGCGGACCGGGCGGCGCGCGATAACAAAGGCCAAACGGCGCTGGCGCTGGCAACTGCCGGTGGCCACAGGAAGTTGGGGCGCCTCTTGCAGCTACTTGGTAGCCCAGTGGTATAGCCTTTTACCCTTTTTTGTGGTTCAAGGTTCCCCAATCAGCATAAAGCACCTAAAAGGGTACCCCTAAACCCTAAACCCTAAACCCTAAACCCTAAACCCTAAACCCTGGGCGACCAAGGCAAAGCTCGCAAAGAGGGGGAGGTTTCGCAGAGCGAGTGAAACGCCGACGGCGAGAAGAGCAAGGATCTTGAGATGGACCTGTCTGAGTCTCATTGCCAAGAGATTCAAGAAGGTCTCAAAACTCTGTGGTGCTGTTACTGTTCCTTTAGATCCTTAGCCTTTTTGGGGTTTTTTGGGTTTCTTAGTAAGGCAGCTTAAAAGTTTAAACTTATAGCTACCCTACTAAGTGCAGCGACGAAAAAGGAGAGGCCGAACACTAGCTACGAAAGTCTACCGAAAAATGTGCATTAGGGTTTAGGCGTTAAGACGCGGCGTAGCTTCCCCAAACTTCAACAGGGCCAAATACCGCTTCACAGTGAGTAAGCTACACGAATAAGGACACCTATGAAGGTAGATTTGGGTAGTTCTTTGAATTAGAGTCCCTTTGTGGGATCCCTTTGCTACAAGGTGCCGCCTTATAATGGGCACCCCAAAAGGAACCCCAATTTAGGAAGCTACCCATATAGCATCTTTAAAGGGGGCATGGGGCTACCCTAAACCTTAAACCCGAAACCCTGAACCCTAAACCCTAAACCCCAAACCTTAAGCCCTAAACCCTAAACCCTAAACCCCAAACCCTAAACCCTAAACCCCAACCTAACCCAAAACCGCAGGGTTAGGGTTTCAGGGTTCTAGGGTTTAGGAGGGAAGCTATCAGGTCTTCTTGCGCAAAACCCTAAACCCTAAACCCTAAACCCTAAACCCTAAACCCTAAACCCTAAACTCCTGTGTGCTTGTGTGGGGAAGCTATCAGGTCTTCCGCAAGCAAGTGGACGCCTTGGACCGGAAGATGGAGGTGCCATGGACTGAAGAGGGTTTAAGGTTTAGAGTTTTAGGGTTTAGGGTTTAGGGTTTAGGGTTTAGGGTTTAGGGGTTTAGGGGTTTAGGGTTTAGGGTTTAGGGTTTCGGGTTTAGGGTTTAGGGTTTAGGGTTTAGGTGATGACTTCGGGAAGCGATGAGGGCGTGAAGGGTTTGGGGTTGAGGGCCTCAGGGGCTTTGAGCTTAGGGTTTCAGGTGTTCAGGGCTCGAGGGGCGTATAAGGCATAGAGGTAGGTGTGTTTGCGTGAGTGCGTGTGATCTATCGGTCTGTCTAACAGTTCTACCACAAACCCTAAACCCTAAACCCTAAACCCAGTTCGAGGGGTACTTTGGGAGGCATCTGAGGTCCAGGGCCCCCTTTTTGACAAGGTTGTAGAGGTTTAGGATTTAGGGTTTAGGGCTTAGGCTTTAGGATTTAGGGTTTAGGGTTTAGGGGTTTAGGGTATCGATTGGTCCTTGGGAACTCACTGTGAGGCACCGCAAAAGACATGCGCCACTGGGCCTTCTGCTCTTAAACTTAAATAAGGCTGTGAATGAGGAAGCCCAAGCCCTAAACCCTAAACTAATAGCACGCGGTTCCCCATAACAGGCCTGTAACATCGATGAACCATGCCCTCAGGGCCCATGTACCACAGCATACGCATAGGCCTTAGCCAGGAGTCAGATAAAACCCCCAAGCCTATAAGTGCTATAAGTCCTCTGAGTCCGATTTACCATGTACGTTCGTGGATGTTGAGGGATGTAGAAATGATGAGATTCCAGTGGGCCAGGCCGAGAGTAGTCAGCGGAAGACTGCGATGGAGTCGGTGGAAGCTTGACTACGTATTGAGTTAGGACCCGGAGTAGGCCCTCATTTCCTTTTTCTGGGTTGGGGTTCCCCTATCCTCCCCTTAAAACCAAAAACGGCACCCCTTGTTACTCCTAGGTTTCTCCTGGGCCTAGTGAGGTTATACAACCGCGAAGCTCCAAGTACTGCGGGACGCGATAGGTTTCCGTGTTTGGGTTTGAGGGCCGGAAGTCGAGAAAGGAGGGGCCCTGAAGGGCTTTAGGCTTTAGGGTTTAGGGTTTAGGGTTTAGGGTTTAGGGTTTAGGGATCGACTGGCATCGGTTCGACGTGGCCTACCTTTACACTTCGCTCAGGGCATGTTGGCTACTCTAGCTGAAACCCTGAACACCCAATGAACCCTAAACACGAAACCCTAAACCCTAAACCCTAAACCCTAAACCCTAAGCCCTAAGCCCTAAGCCCTAAACCCTAAACCCAAATGCCACACCCTAAATCCCCAAGCCCAAGCTGCTGGACCACGGAAGGAAGGCGCACTCGTTTTACCAAGCGCCCTCTCCCAAGAAGGGGCACAACATGGTTTTGGCTGAGGGCCTCGAGCTTATGTTTGGGTTTGGAGGTTGATGAATTATCAAGAGCAACCCGTAGACGGGAAGTGGACCCAGGAGGAAAGGTATCTTGTAAGGGCATACGGGTTATGCTAAATGCAAACCCTAAACCCGAAACCCTAGACCCTATCGTCCTTGACTCATGGGTATCGGGCTCCCTGGCGCCCAACGAAACCCTCAACCTCCAAGGGTTTAGGGTTTAGGGTTAGGGTTTAGGCTTTAGGGTTTAGGGTTTGGGGTCTTGGGTTTAGGGTTTAGGATGTGGGGTTTAGGGTCCCTAAACCCCAAAGCCTGAAGGGGTCTTCAGATCAGGAGAAGAAAGTTACGGGCCTGACGGGACGCGTGGGCGCCTCCGAGGAGTTGTTGGCTTGGGAAGGGGGGGGGGGGGGGGGGGGGGGGGGGGGGGGAAGGGGGGAAGGGGGGGTTTAGGGTTTAGGATTTAGGGTCTAGGGTTTAGGGTTTAGGGTTTAAGGTTTAGGGTTTAAGCTACTTTAGGGTTTGGGGTTCAGGGTTTAGGGTTTAGGTCTGCGGGATTTAAGGGTTTTGGGTTTAGGTTTTACAGGGCTTTTCGGGGTTCAGGGTTCAGGGTGTAGAGGTTCAGTAGCAGGTGCCTTTGTTTCTTTTTTTGTTTTTTTTCTCTCGGGGTGTCGGTTTTGATACTGGACAGGCCGCTAGATTTGGGTTCTGAAAACGGGGCCTTCACGTTGAGATTTGGACATACAGGAGCTAAGTGTGCACTGGAACACATCCTTTGGTGCCATGTACGTATTGAGATAGACTGAAATCACATAGGCCTTGACTCAGCATACTGGTGTCCAAATCAATACTTTCGCCACGCGCGCGCCAGGTGCCGAACTCTGAGACAAAAAAAGCTAAGCCCGGAAATCCCTCCAGGCTTCACTGGCCCGAAGCCCGCATACTCCAAAGTGGTAAAATCTTTGTCGTACTTTACTGTAACTTTAGATCCTTGCCTTTTTTGGGTTTATTGGGTTTCTTCTTAAGGCAGCTAAAAGTTTAATTTATAGCTACCCTTCTGAGTGCAGCCAAGACATGTAAGCCCTAAACCCTAAACCATCGCCCTGGTCTCTGAACCCTGGGTCCGACACCTCACAGTCTTGCGGGGCTTTGGACTCTGTTGCAGCTTGTTTAAAGTTCTTTTTTTGCACAGTAGGGTTCAGGGTTCAGGGTTCAGGGTTTAAGGTTTAGGGTCTAGGGTCTAGGGTTTAGGGTTTAGGGTTTAGGGTCTAGGGTCTAGGGTCTAGGGTTTAGGGTTTAGGGTTCAGGGTTTAAGGTTTAGGGTCTAGGGTTCAGGGTTTAGGGTCTAGGGTTTAGGGTCAGGGAGGCTGCTTAACTTTTGTGGAGCTTGGTGGGCCGCTAGAACTGAGATTGAAGCTGGTTTCGGGTTTCGGGTTTCGGGTTTAGGGTTTAGGGTGTAGGGTTTAGGGTTTAGGGTTTAGGGTTTCGGGTTTAGGGGAAGCAGCCGGGAAGCAGAAATGGTTACGACCTTTTTTGTCCGAGGAGGGGGGGGGGGGACTTAGGACTGCACGTAGAAGTAGCTACCCATGAAACTTCCCTCAAGCGTTGAGCCCTAAACCCTACACCCTAAACCCTACACCCTAAACCGTAAACCCTAAACCCTAAACCCTAAACCCTAAACCCTAAACCCTACGCAGGAGACGATCCAGGCAATCCAGGCCTTAGTGGACTCGAGGTCGTCTTCTTCGGAGGAGGAGGAGGAGGAGCAGGAAGCGAAGGCGGGGCGAAATAGCCCCTAAACCCTATAGAGTTTAGGGTTTAGGGTTTAGGGTTTAGGGTTTAGGGTTTAGGGTTTAGGGTTTAGGGTTTAGGGTTTAAACCCTCTAAACTCCAAGAATCCCGAAGCCTTAAGCCCAAATAAAAACCCACACAACCTCAAAAGCCCTAAGCCTTACGCCTGAAGACAAAAAACACACCCCAACCCTAAGGGTCCATGTACCTTATTATTATATACTTAGACCCAAAAGTCCTTATATAGGAAGTACTTTAAGGCCCAAGTATTCCAGAATTAGGTACATGGACCCTTAGGGCAACGCGGCGTACCTTGCCAATTAAGACTGAAGATGCTGCGCTTGGCCTCGCGACTTATGCTAGGACGTGTCTAGAGTAGCCGATATATGCTACTATTTGCTTAAGAACACCCCAAACAATCAAAACTATTCTTCCTTAGAGAGCAATCTAGGGATTATTTTCACTATTTTTTGGGGTTCTTAAGCAATGAGTAGTATGTGCCCCTGGCTAACCATCCTTTACAACAGCCTGGGGGAGGGGACGGTGAAGAATCTCTTCCCTACAGAGGCACTGCCTGGTTGAAGCATGCATCCCCGGAATTGTATAGATACTGTGGATGGACATAGGGTTTAGGGTTTAGAGTTTAGGTTTTTTGTGTTCCCCGTGCCCCTGTTTTAACACTGGCTGTGAAAAGCTAGCGGCCGGATTTGTTCCAATGGTCGAAATCTTGCACCGCTCAAGTAGTCCTAACCGCCAATGTTAAGCAGGGAGTGCGGGGCTTGATGCCTCAATCGTTTGAAGTACGCATGTGCAGGTGGTGCAAGATTTCGTCCATCCACCGTAATTTAGGGTTTAGGGTTTACGGTTTCGGGTTCAACGTTAGCGCGTTTAGGGCTTAGGGTTGCGTCGACCGCCTCTGCCCAGCAGAACTGGCAGAGGGTCTTGGTGTTTCAGGCCACGGATTCAAAGGCCGTCCGTCAAGGCTTGCGTTCGGGAGTTGAACCTCATGACTGGAGGTTCGGTAGGGTTATAATTATGACAACTGTACTTATATGAAGCAGGGTTTATATTTCTGTTATTGGTGAGTGTATATAAGGCTCCTTTTTAATATTGTTGAGTGTATATACCTGGTGTCCTTTTGGGGGTAATTACAAGCCTACTTCATATGGCCTTATTTAGGGTACTTATAACCCTACTTACAACTACCTGTGAACCTCCAAGTGGCGATCCCTAAAGGGTATGCCAGGTCCTTTTGGAACCTCATACCTGACCATTATGGGCCAAGAATGCTGCTATTGCTGCTGCTACTGTCGCTGTTACTTCTGCCTACTGGCCAACTGCCGCCCATCAGCTGACCCTAAATCCTTGCCATTCAACCCTAAGGATCCATGTACCTACATAGTATATACTTGTGCCTTAAAGGGGTTAATTGCTTAAGGGAAGTATATACTATATAAGTACATGGGTCTTTAGGGCAAGGAACAATGTTCCTTGGCCCACGCCCTGCTTGGAGGTATGTGGGAAGTTATAAGTAGGGTCATGCGTGCCCGAAATATGGTTGTGAGTACAGTCACCATACCTCGAACCCTACTTATAACTTCCCATGAACCTCCAAGTAGGGTCCCCTAAACCCTCAACCCTAAACCCCAAACCCTAAACCCGAAACCCTAAACCCTAAACCCTAAATCCCTTCCTTGGCCAAAGCCCTAGGCTCCAGATCGAGAAACCGGATCTTCTTTCACTCTAGAGTCGGAGATTGAGGCACTTGGGGGAATGCAGACGGGACCAGGTTCAGGGTCTAGGGCTTGCAGGGAAGCCTTAAATCGTAAACCCTAAACGCTCAACACTAAACCCTCAGGGCTTGGGGGTTTGGGGTTTGGGGTTTAGGAGAGGAAGACCAGGATTCAGAATGGCAGCCCTCACCCACCAACCCTCAACCCCGCACCCCATCGCTGCCCCATCTCTGGGTCTTGAGGTTTGGGCCTTGGGGTTTGGGGTTTGGGGTTCAGGAATTGGGGTTAAGGGTTTGGGGTTTGAGGTTTAGGGTTCAGGGTTTAGGGTTTAGGGTTTAGGGGGGTTGAGGTTTAGGGTTCAGGGCTTAGGGTTAGGGGGGGTTGAGGTTTGGGGCAGGACTGGACCACGAAAGAAAGACTTCGAGAGGTGTATACCTCAAGGGGTGCCCCACCAAATACACCCCACCAATTTCTTGGATTCGTGGGGGTATTCTTTGGGGGGGGGAGGTATGGGGCACCTTCTCAACGCGACCCAGAGTGCTCAAGTCCAGTTCTTTGGTCGGTCGCCCCTTTCCATAAAGGGTGTAAAGTACCCATACGCCTGAACCAGGGGATACCGGTGTATTGCCCCATTGTTTAAGATGTATGTCGGATTCTCGATGGAACAGCCCTAACACCACTGAGGTGTAATTGTGAAGAAATCAACAAAATACACCAGTAAACGCACATATTTTTTATACACACGTATACACCAGCTAAATATCAATGTCCCCCATGTACCAAGCTTGTTTGTGTGTGTGAAGGTTTTTGTTTTTAATGTGCACTCCGTCACTCACATCTGATGTTGGGAATTTGAGACCTGTGGTTTTCAATACTGGGCCACGAGAATACACGTTCGAATTTTTCAGGTTGTCATGCAAATTCCAGGGCTTGAGAGTGAAGATCGAGGTTCCAAGAAACATATTTCGAAAGAATCTTCACGCCATAATCCTCAAGCCCAGATTTTTGGGGATACTAGTTCGAATCATGATTCAAGTGCGTGTTCAAATATCCGGTCCATTGTCGTTGGACTCCGAGCCCGAATGAAGCCCAAAAGAGCTGTTCTAGGACCCAGGATAGGCCCTTATTCCCATTTTGCAGGGTTTTGGTTCTCTGAAAATGCCCTTTAAACCAAAAAAGGGTACCCTGTTATTCCTAGGTTACTTCTGGGTCGAGTGTTCGGGCCCGGACACAGGATTCAAGATTTGGGTTGTCCAACTTTTGTCCGTGTAACCCCGGGAAATCTGGGGCACCTGTGTGTACCCTGGCGTGCAAAGTCCAGTACACATGAGTATGCGCGTGTGTGTATATATATATATGTATATATGTGTGTGTGTGTCTGTGTGTTCTACGTATTGTATGACATAAAATGTTATGTGATACCTGTCTTGACTTTGTTTGATCTTCTATCGGTTCTCTTTTACACAGTTTCTAGCATCTTTCGTCTCTTATCTACTGCTCGTTAAACTCTTATGTGTATGGGTGACCGCCTACCGCGGTTCCCCTTTTAAACCATTGACTCAGTAGCCAATGAACCATGATGACATTGAAATCATTGAACGATGAAAATAAAGCCATTAAGCCAGTAAGGCAGCAGTTTTGCATATTGGGGAAAAAGTGTTCCACTAAGCCACTAGGCCATCAAAGCATTCAGCCAACATCGAACCATGACGTCAATACATTCTGTTTTCAGAGGGAAAGAATTGGTTTAATGGCTTCACTATTCTGTGGTTTATTGACTGGCTACATCCATGAGCTAAAGCCTGATGGTTACATGGCTTAATGGCCATGGAAGCTCACATAGCCTTTTCGCTTAGTGGCTCAATAGTTGCACCTAACAATGTTTCATTGGGCTAGGGGGGGCTTCATGTGCGGAAGCATGGCGTATGTATCGAAACAGACATGGCTCGAAACGATGGATGCGCGTAGATGGCTGCCCAGCGAGATGTTTTTTTGCAGTGGCTATCTTGGTAGCCCAGTGGTACCCTTTACCCTTTTTTTGGTTCTGGGTACCCTTACAAAGTAACCAACCAAAAAAGGGTGCCCTTTTTTAATATGTTACTGGGCTACTAAGCTATTGAAGCCACAGCCATGTCAATATTTCAGGCTGGCAGGAGGGCAATGAAGGACAGCTAGTGGGACAGTCTTGCAGCCGTTGTTTCATACATTGTTTTGCCAGGTTCGTTTCATATGTACGCATGTTGATTACTGTTGTATCATATTCCTGTCAGTGCCTTTCCGCAGATCTCAAGCGAAATTATCTAGCACGTTTCTGTTCTAGTATTTGCTTGAGATCTTGAACTTAAGTTCTGGCTAACTGTTTTTTCTAATATCCCAAAGTATCTAAATGAACTTCAATGAACAACCAAGAACTGATGAATTCGAAATAGGACCGCCATCTTTTCATTATTAGGGCCTGCTATCATGCCCTCCAACATCATTTCGGCAAGGAATCAATCAGACCTAGTCAAAGTGCAGCGTAACAGTAGATCTACCCTAAACCCCAAACCCCAAACCCTAAACCCTAAACCCTAAACCAACCCTACACCCTAAACCCTAAACCCTAAACCCTAACTCGAACCTTTTGCGAGGCACGGGACGTCCATGCATCAGCCGTGAGCCCCCGGAGCAGTAGGCAGCGTTCGGGGTTAGGGCTTAGGGTTTAGAGGTTTGGGGTTTAGGGTTTAGGGTTTTGGGGTTTGGGGTTTAGGGTTTAGGGGTTCAGCGTATAGGGTTTGGGGTTTAGGGATTCTGGGTTTCAAGGGTTTAGGGTTTCAAGGGTCTAGGATACAGGTTTAGGGTTTAGGGTTTAGGGTCTAGGGTTTCAAGTTTCTAGTTTCAAGTTTCAAGAGTTTAGGATGTGGGGGTTTTGGGGTTTAAGGTTTGGGGGTTTGGGGTTTAGGGCTTAGGGGTTCATGTTTTTGGGGTTTAGGGTTTCAAGGGTTTAGGTTTTGGGGTTTAGGGGGTTTGGCGTTATTGGGGTTTAGGGTGTAGGAGTTTAGGGTTTGAATATAGCGTTTTGGAATCAAGGTTTTTTAACTTCGGGGTCTACAGGCTGTTTGTTTTATAGGGATTGCGGAATCAAGTTTAGCGGAGAGGTGGGCACGGTCGTAGGGGGGGTTGTGGGACACAGGCTGGCTTCTCTCTTAGGGTAGTTCTATCAGCCCTGAATACGGTCCCTTGCCTCCTTTAGTATGGGTGCTTGGGTTGTATACAAGGTCTTTATAAGGGGGGTCCCCATTTCAGGGCCCATGCTAAGGGACCATGTAGCTACCCTAAGATTCTCCTTGGGGCTTGGACTTGGTGGGTTGGGGTTTACCTTTGCTGTATCAGCTGAAGGCTCTTAAGCCCTATGAACATACACCCCTAAACTCTAAAGCTCTGAATCTCTACGAGCCATGGAGCTCGAACGCCCCAAAAGCTTGAAACCTCAAAAGCCCTTAAACCCCAAGCCTCCTCACGTGGGGAGTTACAGGAACCCATCCGTACCGAAATACATTTATTTAAACCGGGTTTAGGGTTTAGGGCTTAGGGTTTAGGGCTTAGGGTAGAAGACTGTGGAACCTCATCGGGCATTGTGGTAACCATGGAACTCTTTGTCCCAGAATGTAACCAGCGCACTCCATTCACCTACATTTGTTGACGGCTTATGGTAGCAGCTGAAAAGGGGGGGGACTATTACCAAGCTGTTGGGTTGTCAAATCAGGTTCGCGCGTCTCTGAGCCAATATTGCCCTGAGCCCCAAGTCCTTCACCTGAATACGCAAAACCCGAAACCCTAAACCCTAAACGCCAAACCCTAAACCCTAAACCCTAAACCCTAACCCTAAACCCTAAACCCTAAATAAACCCTAAACCCTAAACCTGCACAGGGCGGCCGAGAGCTTCCTGAGCCGCCCAGACTTGCACCCTGACCTGTGGATGGCGCCTGACGCCGCAGGCCCCGGATCTGGTTTAGGGTTTAGGGTTTAGGGTTTAGGGTTTAGGGTTTAGGGTTTAGGGTTTAGGGTTTAGGGCTTAGGGTTTAGGGTTTAGGGCTTTAGCCCTTATGCCCTGAGGCTCTGAGGCCACTTATTTCAGGTTTTTTTTGGGGCCAACATGGGCTTCTCATATAAAGTTTTTTGGGCGGTTTTGAGCCTAAGGGTTCGGGTTTTCGGTTTCAGGGTTTTTCGGGTTTGGGGCGCATGGCTTTCAGGTTTCTGGGTTTAGCAAGGGGCCGAGCCCCAGAAGAGAAGCAGCCTTAGGGTCTGAATCACCCTAGAACCTCAACCCCCCCCCCCCCCCCCCCCCAAAAAAAAAAAAAAAAAAAACTAAAAATCACAAACTCTACGCCCTGGAGCCTACAAGTAGAGCCTAAACACGAAACTCCCCAAACCTACACGTTGGCTCACAGGCATGTATCAGGGTATAAATAGCAATAAACCCTAGACCGTAAACCCCAAACCCTAAACCCAAGGTCAAACCTTAAGCCCGAGTCCTTTGCCTCAAGCCCATGTAAGTGCCTGAAGCACAGGCCATGAGCTGGAGGTCGATGATGGCGGCTTGACACAATCATGAGCGGTTGAGGGTTTAGGGTTTAGGGTTTAGGGGTTTAGGGTTTAGGGTTTAGGGTTCAGGGTTTAGGGTTTAGGGTTTAGGGGTTGTGGGGTTGTTGGGTGTAGGGGGTGACCAGCACTTAACACGACGAGCCCTGAACTAGATACGACAGCTCCCAACACATATAAGTAAGCCTCTTGACTCTTCACGTGGCTGCAACCTACGCCCTAAACCCTAAACCCTAAACCCTAAACCCTAAACCCTAAACCCTAAACCCTAAACCCTAAACCCTAAACCCTAAGCTACGACCCGGATAACAAGAACAAGGGAGAGTGTTCTCAGGTGCTGATCCCGCTTGAAACTCTCTCCTTGGTAATCCAAAGCTTCAAGGAGATGTTAGGGTTTAGGGTTTCGGGTTTAGGGTTTGGGGTTTAGGGTTTCGGGTTTAGGGGCCCTGTCAGCCCAGCTGCAAGACATCGATAACTTCTCTGGCACTATGCCACTGACAATCTTGGGGGCAGCTTCATAGCTTGCAGCAGGAGCACGCCCTTGCTCGTGGCCTCTGGGATCCCGCCACATGTTCTGAAACCCTAAACCCTAAACCCTAAACCCTAAACCCTAAACCCTAAAAATGCACAGTTTACAGCAGACAGTCGCTGAAGAACCGCACCCCTTGCAAAGCTTGACATGGCGCTTGGGGTTTAAGCGCGTAAGCGTTTCAACCTGAACCCCAAACGCTCCACCCTTGAGGCTAGAAGGCACTATAGACACCATAGCCCTAAACCCTAGACCCTAGACCCTAGACCCTAAACCCTGAACCTTAAACCTTAAACCGTAAGCTTAAGCCCTAAACCGCGAATCTCGAAGGCTTCCCGTATATCTGGCGTTGGAGGTTCAGGGTTGGGAAGGTTTCAACAAGACGACAAGGCCTCAAGCAGGTCTTCTTACAAGGTTTAGGGTTCAGGGTTTAGGGTTTAGGGTTGGTAGCCCAGTGGTACTGTTCAAGGTTCCCTTATCAAGTAGCCAACACAAATAGAGTGCCCTTACTGCAATATGGTTACTGGGCTCCCAAGTAAGTCCCAAACTGCAGCGAGCTCTTGAGAAGCCCTAAGCCCTAAGCCCTAAACCCTGAAACCCTAAAACCCTAAAGCCCTAAAGCCCTGTAACCCTAAACCCTAAAACCCTGAAACCCTAAAACCCTAAAGCCCTAAAACCCTGAAACCCTAAAACCCTGAAACCCAAAAACCCTAAACCCTAAACCCCAAACCCTAAACCCCAAACCCTAAACCCCAAACCCTAAACCCTAGCCCTAAACCCTAAACCCTAAACCCTAAACCCTAAACCCTAAACCCTTTTAGAGCCCATCCTCCGCGGCTGTTCTCCTAGGCTCTGGGAGCGCCGAAGATTTTGCACAGGCTGGGGACTGCTTTGAGGGTCTCTAAGGGAAGAGATAACGGTTTAGGGTTTAGGGTTTAGGGTTTAGGGTTTAGGGTTTAGGGTTTAGGGTTTAGGGTTTAGGGTTTAGGGGGGACACCAGGTAGTCGGAAGAACTACACAACAATAGCATTCCCTTAAAGAGTCCCCCAAAACGCTGTTCTGCTTCTTAAGGCCCCTATAGAAGGTGTAGCCCCTTAAAGGGAAATCAGGGACAGAAGGTAAGTCCCTGCTTCCGAACTAAGAACCAGTAGAAAGATTGGAGGCACAGGGCTTGGGTGCACAAGGGTCTTCCCGAAACCCTAAACACTAAACCCTGGTAGCCCTGGTACCCCTAAACCCTAAACCCTAAACCCTAAACCCTAAACCCTAAACCCTAAACCCTAAACCCTAATCCCAGGGTTTCAGCTTTGGGGTTTGTAGCTTCCCCTCCGTTGATGGGGCCTTAGAGTATCAGACCCAGGAGTGGTCCCATTGTCCCTTGTTGGGTTTAGGGTTTAGGGTTTAGGGTTTAGGGTTTAGGGTTTAGGGTTTAGGGTTTAGGGTTTAGGGTTTAGGGTTTAGGGTTTAGGGTTCCCTCAACCCCTAAACACCCGATTTTTGTGGAGGGTTTAGAAGGCCAGATCAACAGAGTGGAGGGCCTAGGCTGCTGGACCGCTGTATCAAGCGCATTTTGCTTTGGGTAAGCTCTACAGACTTTCGAGGCGCGAGTGTGCCGCATGCCTCAAAACTCTATATATCAAAGACAATTCGCACCGAGATCGGGTGTGTGGCATATGGCAGGCTCACTAAATCAGGGTCGCCCAAAACCCCAAACCACAAACCCCAAACCCTAAACCCCCAAACCCTAAACCCTAAACCCCAAACCCCAAACCCTAAACCCTAAACCCTAAGCCCTAAGCCCTAAGCCCTAAACTCTTTGTTTGGGCACCAGAGCTTATACAGAGATGGGCTAGGACCCGGAGTAGGCCCTTCTTTCCTTTGTTTAAGGTTGGGGTTCCCTTATAATCCCTTAAAAGCTAAAAAGGGTATCCGTGTTATTCCTGGGCTACTCCTGGGTCTAGATAGCAAGTAAGGTTACAATGAAGAATTAGGGCAACTATAGTTAGAATTACTTGTACCCGTGTTATTCCTGGGCTACTCCTGGGTCTAGTGGGGATTCCACCAGGAGGAGGCAGTGGCGGAGGCGTCTGCAGATGAGGTGAGCGGAAGACCGATGCTTGGCGCAAGCGGACGTGAGCCGTCAGAGTTTAGGGTTTTAGGGTTTTAGGGTTTAGGGGGTTTAGGGGGTTTAGGGGGTTCAGGGTTGGGGTTTAGGGTCGAGGGCCGATTGTTTCCCATGCTTCACCTATACCTACTTGGAGATTCACCAATGCCTACTTGGAGATTCATGGGTGGTTCGGCGGGGTAGCTATGGAGATGAACTGGGGGGGGGGGGGGGGGTGCGGGCGTGGAGACATTCATGCGCCTGCTCTCATGTAAACCCTGAATCCCAAAGCCCAGATCAATCCCCCAGTCCCAAAACCATGTTTCCAAGCTGCGCACACTGATCTTGAGGCCTCTTTGGCTAGTTTGTAGACATCACCCTGAAGCCCAAGTCGTTTCAAGTGCCGGAGCAGTAAACCCTAGACCCTACCACCTTGCCCGACTCTTGTCCTGAAAGAGGAGCCTAAGCGAAAGACAGAAACTCACATGGGATAATCTACCCTAAACCCTAAACCCTAAACCCTAAACCCTAAACCCTAAACCCTAAACCCTAAACCCTAAACCCTAAACCCTAAACTCACATGGGATAATCTACCTGCAGCAATCTATGTACCCTTACAAAAACAAAGGGGATATCGAAAGCCTTACTTCGGCTACTCTTGGTCGGGTTGAGGGCTCTTTGGGGTTTAGGGTTTAGGGTTTAGGGTTTAGGGTTTAGGGTTTAGGGTTTAGGGTTTAGGGTTTAGGGTTCTTTGGGAGTGCAAGATTCTGGTTCCAGCATCTTGTGCATGGCTTCGGGAACTAGGATGCCCAGTAGTGCCCTTATTCCCTTTTTGGGGGCGCTAGGTTCCCCTATAAACCCCTTTATGCAAAAAAGGGCACCCTTGTTAATCCTAGGTTACTGGGCAACCTAGGGAAGATCCGTCCTAAACAGCTGGACCTTGAAACCTCCTGTCATTTCCCCAAGCCCCCAACCCTTGCCCCTAAACCCCAAAGCCAAAAATCTTAAAGTCCTAAGCCCTGAGCCCGTAGACTATGGCCTCCCAAAAGAGGGTTTCGGTTTAAGGTTTAGGGTTTAGGGTTTAGGGTTTAGGGTTTAGGGTTTAGGGTTTAGGGCTTAGGGCTTAGGGCTTAGGGCTTAGGGCTTAGGGCTTAGGGTTCAATGCAAAGGTGCCGGGTCAGCCTTCCGTGACTGAGATTGCAGCTTACAGCTCACAGGATTAGGGCTTCAGGTTTCTTAACTTCTTGCTAACTATTTTTTTGTTGTTTGTTTTTTTTTTTTTTAGGGGGGGGGGGGTTTAGGGTTTAGGGCTAACTTTTTTTTTCGGGTTTGGGTTTCTTTTGGGGGGTGGTTTTGGGTTTTTTTAGGGTTTGTGGGGCGTGAGGGTCAGGTCGCATCGCCTTGGAACAAGGGCGCGGTCATCGTTTCTGAGAGCTTCGGGTTCAGGGTTTAGGGTTTAGGGTTTAGGGTTTAGGGTTTAGGGTTTAGGGTTTAGGGTTTAGGGTTTAGGGTTTAGGGTTTAGGGTTTGGGGGATTTTTTCGAAGGTTCTGTTCAGGAACACTTAGATTGAGCACCAGCTGATGCCACGCGTCTACGGATGAACTTGGGATGTTCCCCCTAATAAACTCACACTCCTTAATAGGAATTATAGTACCCCTGATTATCATCCCTAAACCCCAAACGCCAAACCCCAAACCCTAAACCCTAAACCCTAAATCCTAAACCCTAAACCCTAAACTGTTAGAAGACGGGGGGAGCATCCCAAGGATGAAGCCTAAAGTCCCGTGGGAAGTTGAGGCTTTTCTGAGGCTTGGCCACAAGTGTAGGGTTTAGGGTTTAGGATTTAGGGTTTAGGGTTTAGGGTTTAGGGGATGTTCCCCCCCTCATACTAACAGTCCTTAGACGGGAATTATCATAGGGGGGGTACGAGAATCCCTATTCAGGAGCTGTTAGTATAGGGGGGAACATCCCAACCCTAAACCCTAAACCCTAAACCCTAAACCCTAAACCCTAAACCCTAAACCCTAAACCCTAAACCCTCGAAAGCCCTAAACCCTAGAAAGCCCTAAACCCTAAACCATAAACCCTAAACCCTACACCCTAAACCCTAAACCTTCGAAAGCCCCAAAAGTAACAGCCGAGGCTTCCCATAGCCAAGCGGCAGCTGCCCAGCAACGCCAGCAGTGTGGAGCTCAGCCATGGCTTAGGGGTTTAGGGTTTAGGGTTTAGGGTTTAGGGTTTTAGGGTTTTAGGGTTTTAGGGTTTTAGGGTTTAGGGTTTAGGGTTTGGGGGTTTAGGGTTTAGGGTTCAGGGGTTTAGGGGTTTAGGGGCTTAGGGGCTTAGGGACTTAGGGGTTTATAAGGTTTAGGTTTGGGGGTTTGGGGTTTAGAGGTTTATAAGGTTTAGGTTTGGGGGTTTGGGGTTTAGGGGTTTAGGGATTTAGGGGTTTAGGGGTTTAGGGGTTTAGGGCTTAGGGTTTAGGGGTTTAGGGGTTTAGGGGGGGTTTAGGGGTTTAGGGGTTTAGGGGTTTAGGGGTTTAGGGGTTTAGGGGTTTATAAGTTTATAAGGTTTAGGTTTGGGGGTTTGGGGTTTAGGGGTTTAGGGGTTTAGGGGTTTAGGGGTTTAGGGGTCTAGGGGTCTAGGGGTCTAGGGGTTTAGGGTTTGGGGTTTAGGGTTTAGGGTTTAGGGTAGGTTCACTGCCTATCTGTGACCCAAACAGCTGCCTCACCTGTGACCCAACAGCGCTCGCTTGTGACCCGAAAAATTCGGGGCTTAGGGCTTAGGGCTTAGGGCTTAGGGCTTAGGGCTTAGGGCTTAGGGCTTAGGGCTTAGGGCTTCGGGCTTAGGGCTTAGGGCTTAGGGCTTAGGGTTTAGGGTTTACGGTCTATAGGGTTTAGGGTTTAGGGTTTAGGATTTAGGGTTTAGGGTTTAGGGATCCTCATCCTCCTCCTCATCATCAGCTTCATCCTCATCCTCATCCTCCTTCCATCATCACCAAATCAAGAGTCCAGACGCGACGGAACGCGGAAGCCGAAGCGCCAAAACCGGAACCCTGCACCTACCCAAACCCTAAACCCTAAACCCTAAACCCTAAAGCCTAAACCCTAAACCCTAAACCCTAACCCCTGAACCTAATCTCCCCAAGTCCCAAACCCTAAACCGCAAATCCGAAGGGTCGTGGCTGAATAGCCTGGAGCTCTCCACCCTTGGAAAGCTCCTTCCTCTCCAGGGCCGCTTGAGGTGCCGCGAGCTACGTATGCGGTTCAGCACTGTGGCTGGGTTTAGGTATAGGGTTTGGGGTTTAGGGTTAGGGTTTAGGGTTTAGGGTTTAGGGTTTAGGGTTTAGGGTTTAGGGTTTAGGGTTTAGGGTTTAGGGTTTAGGGTTTAGGGTTTAGGGTTTAGGGTTTAGGGTTTAGGGAGCCGTGCACAGTTTCGTGCAACGTACGACGCACTTGGGCGGTATTTGACCAGAGCCACAGGGAGGGCTCCGGTGAAACCCTCAGGCCGACACGCAAAGCCCCAAACCGCCCCAAACCCTGAACCTCACACCCTAAACCCTAAGGCCTCAACCCTAAACCCCAACCCTAAACCCTAAGCCCTAAACACCAAACCCTCAGGCCTGAACCCTCAACTCTATAAACCCTATTTATAAGTAAAAACCCTAAGCCCTCAACCCGAAACCCAAAACCCTAATTAATGTTTACCCTGAAGCCTGAACTAAACCCTAAGCCCTCAACCCTAAACCCCAGACCCTAAACCCTTATTCCTGAGCCGAAAACCGAAACCCTACCCTTCACCCCAAACCCGAAACCAGAAGCCCTAAACCCTCAACCCTTAACTGTAAGGCCTGAACCCTAAACAGCCCTAAACCCTAAAGCCTGAACCGAAAACCGAAGCCCTAACCCCTAAACCCCAACATGTTCGGGTCACAAGCGAGTGCTGTTGGGTCACAGATGAGGCAGTTTTTTGGGTCACAAGCAAGTAGAGTACCTTTAGGGTTTGGAGTTAGGGGGGAGGTGAGGGTGGGGGGGGGGGGGGGGGGGGGGGGGGGGGGGGGGGGGGGGGGGAGCAACTAGCCAGCCCTTTAGGGAATCAGGGTTCGAAGTTTAGGGTGTTTTTTGTAGTAACTAGGTCTCAGAACCCGTCGCAGTCTTTCGTCTGCTGCTGAAGATGTGGGGGCGGGGGGGGGAGGGCACACACAAGCTTCAAATTTGCAGCAGCCCCGAACCCTAAACCCTAAACCCCAAACACTAGAACCGTCGGTAATGTGAGGCCAAGATCCGAGCCAAGTGACGGAGCTCAGCGCAGGGGTCGAAGGCCTCAGGGTTCAGGGTTTGGCGTTTTTTTTGGTGTTTAGAGTTTTAGGGTTTAAGGTTTTTAGGGTTCAGGGTTTAGGGCTTTTAGGGTTTTAGGGTTTTTAGGGTTTTGGGTGTTAGGGTTTTGGGTCTTAGGGTTTCAGCTTCAAGGTTAGGGTCCTGCGGTACCTGGCAGTACCTCTGAAGCTTCATTGCTTACGTAGGGTTGAACAGTGCTCCTAAGCCTTAAGCTTACAGGGTCGGAGCCTTGCAGAACTATACTACACTAGGTAGGCCCTTGGGACGTTTTATATTTTCCCTTATTTGGGTTCAAGAGGATCATATTCAGGAATATTTGTCAGAGGGCTTTAGGGGCCAACCTAGTACACCTAACTTCCGAATCTCCAACCAAGGTTTAGGGCCCTTCTCGCACTAGCTTAATGCAACAATGGGCACACTTGCAAACCCTAAACCCTATACCCTATACCCTAAACCCTAAACCCATGCACATGGGATGGACTTGAGCACTTGAGGCGGCACCAGTTGATTGCAAGAAGTGTCGAGTCCAGAGGCATACCGCTTCGGCTTGAGAATCCCTTTTTGACATCCCGAGGCCAAAAAGCAGGAGCAAGCTACACAACCCTAAACCCTAAACCCTAAACCCTAAACCCTAAACCCTAAACCCTAAACCCTAAACCCTAAACCCTAAACCCTAAACCCTAAACCCTAAACCCTAAACCCTAAACCCTAAACCCTAAACCCTAAGCATGCCACCCTCTTCCCTGAGCCTGAGAGGTAGTTTCTTTCTGGCAAAAGGATTGCCAACTTGGTCCCTAAACCCTCAACCCTCAACCCTCAACCCTCAACCCTAAACCCTAAACCAAGCTCCAAGGAATTTTCGGTCATATGACAGCACCGCTTTTTTGTGAGTGTAAATAGGTAGGCCTCCTTAATCATGTTCAACATCTTGGAGAGTGCATAAAACCCTATAAACCCTAAACCCTGATCCCGAAACCCTGGGATACAAGCAATAAGCGCGCTCCCTGCTCCTGTTGTGCGGTGCAGGCGGGCTAGATGAGGCTCGGGGAGGATTCCGGGGTTGCGGTTTTCACCGGGGGTGTCAGATATCATTATGTACCCCAAAGCCCCCCAAACCCTAAACCCTACACCTAAGCCCTAAGACCTCAGCCCTAAAGCCCTGAGCCCTAGGCCCTAAGCCCCAAGCCCTAAGCCCTAAGCCCTAAGCCCCAAGCCCTGAGCCCTAAGCCCTAAACTAAACCTTACTCCATGTTTCAGACTCAGACGTAGTTCCTTGCTTGACAAGCCCCACACACATTCGGTCGCCCGCCTGTACCAATGTGAAGGCTAGTCCGTACTGGTGCAAGTGTGGCCCAACCTTTTGGGTTTAAGGTTTGTGTTTTTTTGGGTTTAGGGTTTAGGGTTTAGGGTTTAGGGTTTAGGGTTTAGGGTTTAGGGTTTAGGCTTGTGCATCTGGTTTGGTTTTCGGGTTTCGGGTTTAGGGTCGGTTTTGTCTAAACCTAAATTACACGTAGTGTTTTTGGTATAGGGTTTAGCGTATCTGGAGTTTAGGCTCGGATGTTTATGGCTTCAGGGCGTCGGGGAGATTTAGGCTTGTGATAACGGGCTCGACCCTAAGTGGGCATCACGTGATTCTTCCGAATCTATGGCTTTTACATGTTCTTTGCAGGGTTTAAGGTTTAGGGTTTGAGTTTAGGGTTTAGGGCATCAGCCTTGTGCCCCTTCACCCAAAGAATTTTAACGTTGAAACGCCGGGGTGAGCAACACCCCCAAGCAGCCAGAGCACCACCAAGTTCTCTAAATTAGGATCCTTGTTTTGCCCTAAACGGCCCCCGTAAAATAAGGAACCTTAACTGGGGCCCTTATGCTGGGGCTTAGCAAAACCCCATCATCAGTGGCATGTTCATGCCAACAACCATTGTCCCTGGGTATCGGTTAAAACCCGAATCCCTTGCAAGGTTGCACGCTCTGGCCCTGAAAAGGTTTAGGGTTTAGGGTTTAGGGATTAGGGTTTAGGCTTTAGGCTTTAATTAGGGTTTAGGGTTTAGGGCTTGAGGACCCACACTCTGCATGAACACCAGAAAGGCGCTGACAGAAGGCCCCGTCTACGAAGCCTCGGCGGGCACGGCTTCCGTACGCGAGCCGTAAAGCCAACACTCCAAAACCCCGAAGCCCTGAGGCTAACCCCCAGACCCCAAACCCCCAAACCCCCAAACCCCCAAACCCCCAAACCCCCAAACCCCCAAACCTAAACCTAAACCTTATAAACCCCTAAACCCCAAACCCCCAAACCTAAACCTTATAAGTCCCTAAGTCCCTAGGCCCCTAAACCCCAAACCCCCAAACCGCCCTGCTCCTTCACAGGCCGGCGTGCCAATGCCAAGGAGACAGCGGCAAGCAAGTAGCCATGATTAGCACCCACGGATGCCCTAAGTCTCATGGTAGCCCAGTGGTACCCTTTACCCTTTTTTGATTCTGATTTCCCTTATGAGGGAACCAACCCAAAAAAGGGTGCCCTTATTGTGATATGGTTACTGGGCTACCAATAAGTCGTGAGGGTCCAACCCTTATTCCCTTAGAGACAGGAAGTTTGCCCGAGCTATTGGCAGCCTTTATTCCCTTAGAGACAGGGAAGTTTACCCCGAACTATTGGGTACAATTTTCCCTAACAATTAGGTACGTTTCTCGTTTTAAGGGTGCGGAGGTTACTCCAAGTATTGGTCGTATTGTTGCAGGTACCAACCAGCCCATGACTCTTCCCAATACCCAAGCCCTAAGGCCTCAACCCCAAATAACTTTTAACCCTACTCCCGCCCCCCTCCCCCTCCCCCCTCCCTCGCCACGCCTTTCCTTGCACTTGAGTGGTTCATGGCGAGCCAATTTAGTATGGTAAGTAGAACTAGAATCAGCAGGATTCATGCAGTATCAGGTATCAGTAGGGGTTACCGGAGTAAGACCTTCCCCCCCCCCCCCCCCTCCCTTATTATGAGTTCCAGCGACACATGAACATGCAATCTTGAAGCCTGTGCTGAGAAGATCTACGGCCACAGGGTTACCCAAAGGCTCCATGTACCCTTATAGTAGATACCTAGGCCTTAAGGTACCCTTATAGGAACCCTTTAAGGCCTAGGTATCTACTATATGGGTACATGGAGCCTCTGGGTTACGTAACAATGGCCCCTTACCCGAAGACTTGTTTTGTCTTATTGGTTTAGAGGTTTAGGATTTTCATGCACTGTGCTGTTTCCCTTCTTGAAGGGTTTCTGGGTTACTAAGAGTAAAGGTTACAGTACTTGAAGGGTTCAATTTAGTACTTTTCGGGGCGGTTAACAGAACCTCTAGCGGTCGAAGCACACCAGGACCAGGACTGTCGAAACCTCCGAATCATCCGTTCTCGGCCCCGCAGATGACGCAGAGGCCTTACCTGTGGGCTTGGAGTCTTCCCCTAAGGCTCTAAGGCCCCTTATTTCAGGGTTTTGGGGCCAAGAAGCCCTCTTATGTAAGATTTCCGGGCTGTTTTGAGCCTCAGATTTCATGAGGCTTGTACAATTCGAGTAGGGCCAGTAGGCCTTCGAGTCGGGTGGCATCGGCCACTGGGAGTGTATGCGGAAATCCGTCGTGGCGTGAATGAGAAGGGTGGCCATCTTACTTGACCAGCTGCAGGTGTCCAGTCAAGAGGGTTTAGGGTTTAGGGTTTAGGGCTGGCTTGTACCAAAAGTGTTGAAACATCTCAGAGAGTAGGGGGTTTTCGAAATTAGGGGTACCGTATTGGGGTCCTTGTTACAAAGGAATCCTACTGTTTGGGGGTTTATATTTGGGCCCCTTATTTTCGTAAACTCCCAGTTTAGGGTTTAGGCTCTGAAGTATGGACATAGGTTTAGGCTGCTATACCAAGTGGGCACATTTCAAGCAGGCCACGACAGAACTGTTCTGCTCCTCAAAACCTGAGGGTAGGACATGAGAGACGATGATATTTCTCGGAGTTGTTGCCAGTAGGTTCCCCCCAGGCCAAGCCCAAACTCAAAACCTGAACCCCCCCTGCACCCCCCCCCCCCCCCCCCCCCTAACCTGAAGCGGTTCCCCTCAATCCTAAATCCTAAACTTTTGAAACCCTGCCCCAAGAGCCCAACACCCCCCCCCAACCTGAAAGTGTTCCCCTAAACCCTAACCCCTAAACCCTAAAACCCCCCAGCCTGAAAGGGTTCCCCTAAACCCTAAACCCTAAACCCTAAACTCTAAACCCTAAACCCTAAACCCTAAACCCTAAACCCTAAACCCCTGTCCCAAGAGCCCAACCCTCACAGGGGCAGGCGGAAACACAGCGAACGACCCGCTGGGACACGTGCGGCCTCTCAGAAGTCCAACTCGGTAGGCCTTCGGATATTGAGATTATTCCCCTATTGGGTTGAAGATCCCCTATGGGTTTAGGGTTTACGGCTTCAGTGAGTACGGTTTAGGGTCTAGGGTTTAGGCAAGCTCGGCCGGTGACAAAAGCTGAAAGCACCACCCGCAAGAACATTGAATGTCGGCCACCCGGTTATCATGAGGCTTTCATGGACCTTGAGGGGAGGGGGGGATGGGTTTAGGGTTTAGGGTTTGGGTTTAGGGTTTAGGGTTTAGGGTTTAGGGTTTAGGGTTTAGGGTTTAGGGTTTAGGGTTTAGGGTTTAGGGTTTAGGGTTTAGAGGAGGAGCCTGGAGAGTCTAGGGTGTATGGCCAAGCTTTGTAGCGTTTGAGACTTAAGTCTTGGCTCCCAGAGTCTAGGCTTTGGGGTTGCTTCGGGTTGCGGGGAACTTCCTATAAAGGTGTATGAACCAGAAAACCTTCTAGGGTCATTCAACCTATACTACTATGACTTTACTTCCTATGAAGGTATATAAACCCATAAACCCTTTTTAGGGTTCAAGAAAATCAGATGTCGTTGTTGAGCCCGCTCACAAGTTGACAAATATATTTTCAAACGCCAACTTCGCACGCACTACATATATGGGCGTTTAGCTTTCAAGCCGCAGTTTCCACCGATGGCATTCTCCAAACCCCCTAAACCCTACTAACCCTAAACCCTAAACCCTAAACCCTCAACCCTAAACCCTAAACCGAGCTGAAAGGTCGTCCTCCATTGCAAGTCAGTTCTTTCCGCGCACAAAGACCCGGAAGGGCTTCGAGGACAGGCTGCCCATGAGGGCTCAGAGTTGAAAGGGGTCTGCCTCTGTATCCGGGCGTCGCAATGTTTAGAGAGTTATAACATGTTACAGGTGCTGTATAAAGTTTATCATATTAATATACGTATATATATATATATATCTATATAATTGATATGTACATTTTGTATGTATGTATGGATGTATGTATGTATGTATGTGTGTGTATTTATGTATGTATGTATGTATGTATGTATGTATGTATGTATGTATGTATGTATGTATGTATGTATGTATGTATGTCTGTATGTATGTATGTATGTATGTATGTAGTTTATGTGTTGGTGTGTGTAGTGTGTGTGTATGTGTGTGTGTGTATGTATGTGTGTATTGTGTGTATGTGTGTGTGTATGTATGTGTGTGTGTGTGTATGTGTGTGTGTGTGTATAAAGCGATGTGGGGGGGCGGTACTTCTAGCAGTGGCTGTAGGATCTACGGACCTAGAGAGCGCTAAAGAGCCCCCGGCTTCCGCGTCGGGGTTTGGATTGTGGCTGTGGGGCTTCCGGGGCGGTTTTGGTTTTTAGGGTTAAGGGCCTAAGGGTTGAGGGCCATGTAGGAGGCATAACAACCCGGGACGTGAGTGAATATAGACTATAGACCTCAATGCTTCGAGTCTAAAATGTGCGACTTTTTGGTCCAAGGCCGTTGAAGGCTCTGGCCAAGTGCTGGTCAGAGAGCCCTCTGTCCGCCTAACCGATCAGGGGTAGGATTTTCCATGACCTTAAATCCTCTGTCTAGCCTTTATAAAGCCGCACATGTTTAGTTTTTATCGGGTCCCCAAACCTACCCCAACTATGTCCGCGGACCGCTGGCCAAGGTAATGCAGGCAGAGGGTTATAGTTCTTTGCGGCGTAGGATCTTGAGGGTTTAGGGTTTAGGGTTTAGGGGTTCAGTTTTTTAGGGTTTAGGGTTTAGGGTTTAGGGTTTAGGGTGTCTCAATGAGTGGGCGCGCTGGTGCTGAAAGCACCCAGGCGCGCGCCCCGACTTGCATAAGCCCACCCCCGCTGGCGCTCCACCCTCGCCTTAACCTTTACGGGTTTAGGGTTCTTTTTGAACTCTGATCGTGCTTTTGTTATTTTTCTCTTGTCCATTGGCTGGGTTAAAAGCTCGGCATCGATGCAGATCAACTACCCTGAAGTTGCAGCCCTTAGGCATTGCAAGGGAGATATCTATCAATCGAGGGCTGCTGGAGGTTTGGGCTTGGGCTGGCTGCCGCCTTCGCCCTCGGCGATGCTGCGTGCTGGGCGGGGGTTTGGAAAACTTGCTTGGAAGGGCGTGAAATCAAAGGTTTGGGCTTTCGCCATTTCTAATGTTGGGCTTAGATGTCCATCATTCGAGGGCTTGTGGGAGGGCCAACAAGTCAAAGGTTTGGGATTGGGTTGGCTGCCGCCTTCGTCCTTGGTGATGCTGCGTCTTGCTTGACCCCCTCATTTGGGGTGTTTTTTGGCTGGAATCAGTGAAAGGCTCGGTTTTGATCAAAAATGCAGAAAACGAGAGCCCACCCAGAACCGTCACTTGAGTACTAAAAAATAGCATTTTTAACTGGGGCCCGGGCCGATCCTGGGCTCCCTCTCATTTGGGGAGTTTTTGGGGGTAAACTTTCCCCTTCAAGGGGGGTCGGAGTTTTGAGCAAGGGGGGTCTCCCAAAAGAAAAGGTCGCCGGGGTCCAGTGACCCTTTGAAGGTCCCTTAGAAAAGCTCTGGGAAGAGGCCAGATCAGCCTCCCAGCAGGGCCTCCCACCTGGGAGGGGCTTCCCAAACAATGGCCTCCCAGGCAAGGGGGCCTGTCAGGCAGGGGCCTCCCAGGCAGGGGTCTTAGGCAGCCCAAGGCAGGGGCCTCCCAAACAGGGCCCAGGCAGGGCGGGGGGCCTCCCAGGCCTCCCAGGCTTGCCAGGCAGGGGCCTCCCGGGGGCCTCCCAGACAGGGCCTCACAAGCAGAGGCAGGATGCCCAGTACGAGGAAAAGGTTCCCCTGGTCCACGAAAACGGCTGGAGGCTCCTCTGGGAGGGGCCCTGAGAGACCTCACAAAAGGAGGTTGCTGCGTTTTACCCGAAGGTTTGGGGTATCTCATTCTAAGGCGACCTGACGGGTTTCTCGCCAGCGACCTGCCGGGTCCACCGCGCAGCCCGCAGCTGCCTGCGGGACTGGAGCTCCGTCGCCCGCCGGAGGGCTTCTGGCTCCGGAGCTACCTCGCCTGCCGGCTTCGGTGCGTTCGCCCTGCTCGACGGCCCCGGGCTCACTCAGTTTAGGGCTTAGGGTTTAGGGACCCGACTCTTTGATACAACATCGTGAACCCTGGAGGAGCCATCGCCACAGGTGTCCCCAAAGAGTACGAAAGGCCGCTTTGCTTCTGATGAGGCTACGCCCTAAACCCTAAACCCTAAACCCTAAACCCTAAACCCTAAAGATCCATGTGCCTATGTAGTATATACGATGTTTGGGCCCTAGTTATACTATATAGGAACCCCCTTTAAGGCCCAAGTATATACTACATAGGCACATGGATCCTTAGGAATTTCCGCTTTTGAACTGAACCTGTGCGCCCTGAGCCCCGCACTCGAATCTCCGATTCGCTTAAGTAAGCTTTACCGTGCCACCGTAGGCCCCAATCAACTGCTTAGGGTTTAGGGTTTAGGGTTTAGGGTGATTAGGGTTTATGACTTATGGGGCGTAGCGCAAGTCCAGTCCTGGCTGAGGCTACGTATCACCATGGAGGCGTCTTTTCGGGTGGAAGAATGTGCCGGAGGGCATATCCTGAAGCCCTTGCTGGCCCCAAGTTGAACACCAAACCCCTAAACTCTAAACTTGCGGCCAGAGGAAACCGCCCACACATCTGAACGAAAGAACCATGTGACACCCTAAACCTTAAACCCTGAACCCTCAACCCTAAACCCTAAACCCTAAACCCTAAACCCTAAACCCTACCTGCTGTCATGGCTTCTGTTGCGAGGGGGCTCCACGCGGCGCCGGAGCCGGCTTGAGAAGACAGTGTCGCAGAAGGAGCAGCTACCTGGCTTTCCGAGCAGGGGTTTGGGATTTGGGGTTTAGTGTTAGGGTTTAGGGTTTTGGGTTTAGGGTTTAGGGTTTCGGGTTTCGGGTTTAGGGTAGCCTGTTTCAGAGAGGAAGCTATTTACCCCTGTTTTGGGTTCAGACTTTACGTTAGGGCTTAGGGTTCAAGGTTTAGGGGAAACAAGGGAGGAGGGGGGGGGGGGTTCCATAATTACGATCACATGTTTTTGGTACATCAGGTGCAGCCCTATCTGGGGAAATGTTCTGGTACATAGGTTCTAAGCACAAGAAGCTCTCAAAGTTATGTTTGTGGTTTCGTTACGTTTATCTGTCTTGTTCGGGAATGCAGCAAGATGGGTAACTTTGCTTCTGCCGATTGCCTACGAGGTGAGGTGGTTTCTTATATCCTGCTACTATGTAGAGTTTGAGAGTTCATGGTGCTGGCTAAGACGTTCTTAGCTTGAGGAGACGGTACGGGGCCGGAGCTACGGCCCGCCAAAAAGAGCAGATGGCACTACACGGCCCATGGGCACATATATGTGCATCTACATGCGGACGGAAGCAGGCACAACACCTAAGCTGGGTATTGCTTTGGGATAATTTTACATTTCCCTTCTTTCCCTTTCATAAATGATTTTCGAAGGCTTTAAAGCAACAACCAGTAAGTTGCATGCGCAAGTGCATGAGACAGTTGCAGTGGAGTCGTGGTGCCTTGGGACTTATCTGCATACTTCACTGGGTTAGGGTTTAGGTTTAGGGTTTAGGGTTTAGGGTTTAGGGTTTAGGGTTTAGGGTTTAGGGTGAGTTTATCTGACAAGGCTGTCACAGGGAAGTATATGGCGCTCAAACCAGTTGCCCTAGAAACCCTGGAAGCACGGCCTGGACTCGCATGAAGCAAAGCATTGCTTTTTGCGTGTGTTTGCAGACATTTGTCTTTTGGGTTTAGGGTTTAGGGTTTAGGGTTTAGGGTTTAGGGTTTAGGGTTTAGGGTTTAGGGGTGTGCTTGCAGACATGTGTCTTTTGGCAGTTGGGTCTGAGTTCGAGGGCTTGCGATGCAGCTGGCTCCCAAACTTGGGGTTTAGGGTTGTCCGGTCTTCCCCCAAACCCTAAACCCTAAACCCTAAACCCTAAACCCTAAACCCTAAACCCTAAACCCTAAAAGGGGATACGAGCCTTGGGGCTTCTTGTAGTGCCCCGTGGATGAAACGGGAATTCGTGACGCAGCAGCTGGGCCCTAAACCTACATACACAGATAACGCACCATATGCATGCATATGTATATCTATACATACACATCTAGTCGCATGTATGGGCCAAAAAGGAGATGAGGTTGGTGACTTCTTAGGCTTTTGGCAAGGTTTGGGTTGCTTTTAGCTCCAAAAGGCTTGGAATTCCCGTCGCATTTAAGTGGAGCTTCCATAAAACGGACCGAGACTGATGGACTTGGCAGCCCAGTGGTACCCTTTTCCTTTTTTTTGGGGGGGTTCTGGTTCCCTTATAAAGTAACCAACCAGAAAAAAGGGTGCCCTTATCATAATATGGCTACTGGGCTACGAAGAGGATCACTCTTAGGCCAACTCTATAAGCCCCTCTACCCCAAACCCCAAACCTTAATCCCTAAACACTCAGAGGATTTAGTGCTTCCTCCCAGACTCTCCACTACTTAAAGGATCAAGGGACTTCGTAAGTAGGGTTATAATTAGGTCAACTATAGTTACAACTACCCAGAACCCCAATTAGGGCACTTATAACCCTACTTACTAAGTCCCATGATCCTCCAAGTACCCTAAACCCCAACCCCCAAAACCCAAACCCTAAACTCTAAACCCTAAACCCTAATCTCTAAACCCTACTTACTAAGTCCCATGATCCTCCAACTAGGCCGGAGTCGGGTGACGAAGAGCTGGTGTCGCCCAACTCGATGCGTGGGATCGTCGCCTGGCATCAAATCCTACTCACTGCCAACAAGATCCTCACTTCATGCCCTTGGGTTTAAGGTTTAGGGTTTAGGGTTTAGGGTTTAGGGTTTGGGCATTAATTAAGGTTCAGTTCCGACACACCTCTCTCAACAGTCCTTGACATCCATGCAGGTAACAAGAGGTTGTAAAGTGTGAGAGGAGTGCCCGCAACCGATTAACACTTGCAAGTATGCGATTCTCGTCTTCCGCTAGTTACATTGGTGCTTCAAGTCGTGTGACAGAGAACGCCTGGAAGATCAACTTTACTTGAACTCGCGGCCATTTGTGGGAGCAGATAGGATGTCCACTTTTCATAGCTGCACATGCATGAAGACTACTTACAAACGCCTAAGTTAGGTTTGAGGGATGTAGAGTTCAGGGTTTAGGGGGTTAGATGTTTAGGGTTTCGAGCTTAGTGCAGAGTTAAGAGGGTTGGACATTTTAGGTTTTCGAATAGTTCAGAGTTGAGGGGGGGGGTTGATGTTTTTGGAGTTCAGAGCTTAGTTCAGAGGTGAGGGCGTTAGATGTTCGAGGGCTTAGAGCTTAGTTCAGGGGTAAGGGGTTAGACATGCTTTGGGGTTTCGAGCTTAGATAGTTCAGAGGTAAGGAGGTTAGCTGTTCTTTGAGGTTACGAGCTTAGTGGGTTCAGAGGGAAGGGGGTTAGATGTTCGTTGGGGTCTAGAGCTGAGGTCGGGGTTTTAGATTTAGTCATGTGAGCAGTCTCTGTCGGGCCTAGGGAAATCGTCGAGCGAGCCGGTCTCTTCAGAAGGTGGAGGACTGGATAGGTTTAAGGTCTAGGGTCTGGGGTTTAGGGTTTAGGGTTTAGGGTTTGGGGTTCAGGGGAGTCGGGCGGTTTAGAGTTTAGGGCTTACAGTCCACTGTGAAGTTGACCCCTTTGAGTACCTGAAGGCTTGAAGATGTAGAAAGCTCCCGGACTACTAGAATGCAGGCACAGGGCTGTGTTCCCCCTGGGCCCCCATAACCATGCCCTAAAGCCCTAAACCCTAAAGCCCTAAGCCCTAAAGCCCTAAAGCCCTAAAGCCCTAAGCCCTAAAGCCCTAAGCCCTAAACCCTCATAGCCCATGCCCTGCACCTCAAGGGCTGGGAGCTTGGATTCCTGCTCGCCGTTTCCTTGTGTCCGTACCCCGCACCCCAAACCCCAAACCCCCAAGCCCAAAAACCTTAACCCTAAACCCTAAACCCCAAACCCCAAGCCCCAAGCCCCAAACCCCAAGCCCCAAACCCCAAACCCCAAGCCCCAAACCCCAAGCCCCAAGCCCCAAGCCCCAAGCCCCAAGCCCCAAGCCCCAAGCCCCAACCCTACACCTTCTAAACCCGAAACCCTGAACCCCAAATGTGTAGTTCTCAGTAGTGTTCTTATTCTCTATTTTAGGGTACTTATAGAAACCTTACTTCTAACTACCCATGAACCTAAACCCTAAACCCTAAACCCTAAACCCTAAACCCTAAACCCTAAACCCTAAACCCTAAACCCTAAACCCTAAACCCCAAGCAAACCTCACTTTAAGTGCACCGAGCTTGGCTGCCTGGAGAGTTTTTGAGGTTGAGGGGATGATGTGTCTCCATGAGATGTGCCCAAAGAAGGCTCAAGAAATTCGGGAACCCGAATAGGGTCCATGAACCTAGTTTGGGGAGGATTTGAGGTTTAGGGTTTAGGGTTTAGGGTTTAGGGTTTAGGGTTTAGGGTTTAGGGTTTAGGGTTTAGGGCTACTACACACGACCAGGGGTGTCTCAACTAAGGCCCATATACAGATTATATAGGTACAGGAACCCTTAGCGGAAGCTGTACAACCCGAAGCCCAACACCCTGAAGCCTGAAACGCCTCTATGCCTTGATGCTCTGACCCCAAATCCCTCGAGGGTTTAGGGTTTAGGGTTTAGGGTTTCAACCCACAAGCCCTGAAACCTAAATTCCCTAGACCCCATCCCCAAAAACAGGCTAACGACTTGACCGCAAGACTCCCAAAGCTGCAACTTACCAGAGCATCAGGTGTGGATAGATCTATATCGGGGCTTACGGAAATAGAGGAACAAACCCCCAAATAGTAGGATTCCCTTGTAGTCAGGACCCCAACAAGGCACCCCTAGTTTCGGAAACCCCATATGGGTGTTTCCGAAAAAAGAGGTACCTTGCAGGGTTCCTTTAAGGGGATCCTATTCTTTGTGGGGTAGAAATACCCATAGGGGTTTGGGGTTTTTAGGGTTTGGCGTCCCACAGTTTTCGCTGTACTGTTTAGGGCGATCCCTGAAGAGAGGTTTATGTTTGATAGAGGGTTACCAATTCGCGGCTGCATCAGAGTTTGTAGGTTCAAGCTGGGAGGCTGATGCTTAGTGACTAAACCCTAAACCCTAAACCCTAAACCCTAAACCCTAAACCCTAAGGTGGGGTCATAGGTACAGACCCAAAATGGGATGTACACTTACAACCATGGCTTGGTAGCCCAGTGGTGCCCTTTTTCGCGTTTTTGGGTTCAAGGTCTCCCCTTATCAAGCAGCCAGCCCTCAAAAAGGGTGCCCTTATTGTGATATGGTTGCTGGGCTACCAAGACGGGGTATGAGTCATAGCTACCCATGAACCTCGAAGTAGGCTAAGGGTCTGGAGCTTCTGCATTTCTACAGGGCCAAAGCCCTGGACAGGAGGCGCTCACGGCGGTCATCCGCATGAAGCACGCAGGAGGCTCCGGGTGGGATTTGCAGGTTTTAGGGTTTAGGGTTTAGGGTTTAGGGTGGGTGCACGTCAGTGCATGTTATATTTCGAGTTGCTTTTGCCCTTGGGGGGTTGGGATGTGGCCCAATTCTTAAAGAGCCTCTCCCCCCCCCACCCCCCCCCCCGAGCTACCACCACAGTAAACCCGGTCGAAGCAGAACCTTCCGGCCGGAAGACCCCCTCATGGAACTCACAAGACACTGCGCGCTATTCCTAGGAGGGTGTGGGTTATCCCATCCATGGGCCCTTAACAGGGGGACCCCTGCTATATACCCCTTTTACACCCCATACAACTTAAGGGCCCATACTTCAGAACCCTTGACACAGGGCAAGGGTGCTTTCCCAGACCTCGCATAGGGCTCCACGCCCTGAACCCTGAACCCCAGCTCTCGGCGACCGTGGTCCTGGCAAGGTAGTGAGGGGGACAAGAGCTTCTCCCTGGCAGCCTGGAAGCACTGAAGAGGGGCCCCAAAAAAGCCACATAAGCATGAGGATCTTACAAGCAGGGTTGATTTCGGAATCCCCCTTTATAGGGGCCCGAATACCCCAATAGTAGGATCCTTATGTGTATGTGGTGCTTCTGTGCCTCGACTGAAGAGTGTAGTGGCAGCGGTCTTGGCTCAAGATAGATAGGGTTGAGCTGAATAGGGTTCCCTAAACCCGAAACCCGAGGGCTTAGGGCTTCCGGTGTCAGACGCGCTGCAAACCTCAGTCACATTGCCGATGACACCATGGTTCGGACGTTGAGTTTCGGTGGACTTCGGGCTTTAGGGTTTGAGGCCGGGGCCCGGGGGCTAAGTTTGCTCTGGGGCCAGGCTGGCTTGAAAGGTCAAGTTTCTCCTTTTGTGGACACTTTGGTTCAGGGTTTGGGGGTGTTGGGTCAATCGTAAATCCCCAAGGCACCAGAACCCGAAGCCCCCGAGGCTTGAACCCGCAACGCATGAACCAATCCTGGACTAGGACCCAGAACTGGGCCCTGCCTCTCTGTTTGCAGGGTCTGCGGCTCCCTGGGAATAGCACCTTTTCGACATCCTACAGCCCTAAACCCAAAACCCAAACCCCCACTCCTTACACTCGAAATCCGCAAGCCGAATCCCCCCCCCCATCCCCCCTCCCCCTAAACCCCAAACCCCTAAACCCTAAACCCTACACCCCCCACAAGCCTGCAATGTTTCTCTGGGCAAGGCTTCAGGGGGTACGGTTTGGGGCCTTGGGACGTAGGGTTTAGGGCTTAGAGGGTTAGGTAACGGTTCCAGGCTTCAAAGGGGGCGCCACTGAAAGCAGTCATGGCAAGTTTTGAGCTGCGAGGAAGACTTCGCCACCTCCGCAGTCAACCTCCCCATTATGCAGGAGGCCCTGCAAGCCCAGAAGGTGCGAAGTTCAGGGGGTTTAAGGGTTTTGGGCCTTGGGTTTTGGGGGTTCAATGTGTGTGTGTGTGTGTGTGTGTGTGTGTGTGTGTGTGTGTGTGTGTGTGCGTGGGTGGGTGCGTGGGTGGGTGCGTGGGTGGGTGCGTGGGTGGGTGCGTGGGTGGGTGCGTGCGTGCGTGCGTGCGTGCGTGCGTGTGGGTGTGTGGGTGTGGGTGTGGGTGTGTGTGTGTGTGTGTGTGACTGGCTGTGTGTGAAGGAGTTTCATTAAACAAATCTTGTGCCGAAACAAGGGAGCCATAGTCGTATGATTTCTATGCCCATGTTGCTTGCTCCTTCTGTACCGCACTTAGAGGTATCACGGCTCAGGGCTTCGACTGGGGCGGGTTGGAGGGGTCGCACAGACAGGGGTTTAGGGTGTAGGGTGTAGGGTTTACAAGTTTAGGGTTTAGGGTCAGGAACAGATGATTCTGTTTCGTTGTGTTACGCTGCCAGATCCCAGCGTTAAAGCGTTAAAGTGCACAAGTATACCTTTCACGGGGTCGATGTAAATATGAGGGTTTCCGGCGAAAAAAGGACCTAATATAGACCCCCCCAGTTAGTAGGATCCCCTTATAATGTTGACCCCAGCAAGGTACCCCGAATTTTGGAAACCCTAAACCCTAAACCTGAACCCTAAACCCTAATTTCGGAAACCCCTATATGTCTGCAACAAGCGGGTCTGCATGAGCCAGAGGTAGTTCGAGCCGAACGATGTTGTAAGTTCCATCCCGGGGTCAAGGGTTTAGGGTTTAGGGTCTAGGGATGTAGGCTACCTAGTGGCCTAGGACCGGGAGTAGGCCCTTGTTTTCCTTTTTGGGGTTCCCTTATTATCCCCTTAAAACCAAAAAGGGCACCCTTTTTATTCCTGGGTTACTCCCGGGCGTAGTAACCTGAACCCTACTTAGAGGTTTATGGGTAGTTCTATGAAGAGTTACTTGTGGTAATTGTACCTATTACCCTATTCAAGGTGCTTTTAACCTGACTTATACCTACCCATGAACCTCCAAGTACACCCTAAACCCTATGCCCTATAACCATCCATGAACCTCCAAGTATGACCGCCAAGCCCTAAACCCTAAACCCTATTTCCTAAACCCTAACCAACTTCAGGAAGACGGCGACCGGCTGAGAGAGGCCCCGAAGCTTGGGAGCTCACAGGGAAGCCGAAGCCAATGCCAGGATTCTCCCCTAAGATTCTGGTTTTAGGGTTTAGGGTTTAGGGTTTAGGGTTTAGGGTTTAGGGTTTAGGGTTTAGGGTTTAGGCAGCTCCTAAAGTTGCACCAAAAGAATTCCCGCAACTGTGAATCATCAACACCACATGCCCATCGAACTTCGTTAGGCCCTTATAAAACTCCAAGTTTTCGAGCCCTAAGCTACCCTCCCTATGTTAGGTTGCCGGGCATCATTCTTGTCATCTTAGGACTTCGGGGTTCTGTGCGCTTGATGAGCTAAAGCCCTGACGAGCGTTGAGAGGGTTGGGGCTTGGGGCTTGGGTCCGCTTCTCTCGAGGGTTTCGGGTTTAGGGTTTAGGGTTTGGGGTTTAGGGCTTAGGGTTTAGGATTTTGGGCCAGTATCAAATCACTCCAGACGAAGCCCCAAGCCCCACTAAACCCCCAAATCCAACCCCTAAACCCTAAACCTAAACCCTAAACCCTAAACCCTAAACCCGAAACCCGAAAAGCAGCATGCCAACGGCAGGGCCTCCTGGGCGTCTCAGAGCGCATGGGAGCTTTGGAGGCGACGGCGAAGGAGCTGGCAGAGATACTTGCCGAAACGCACTTGATGTTTTTAGGGGTTTAGGGTTTAGGGTTTTGCCGCATTTCAGGGGCTTTTTTAGGTTTTTTGTTTTTTTTTTGGGTTTTTTGAGGGCCATGCTACCATGCCCAAAGCGTTGCCACTGTTGTCCCTTTTTTCGGCCCCCAGAAGCAAGAAGCAGTTTTAGGGTTTAGGGTTTAGGGTTTAGGGTTTAGGGTTTAGGGTTTAGGGCTCTAGATCATCCCATATATGCCCATTCCCATTACGCAGGCCCCCCCCCCCGATCTGTCTCCTCCAAACCGCCAACCCTAGGCCCCCGCGGGCTGACGGCTCGGAAATCTTTAGCTTTGACGCTGTCAGGTTCTGAGGTCACTCGAAAAGAACGTTCAAAGACGCTTGTGAAAGGGCTTGAGGGTTGAGAGTTGCCAGCCCTTTTCCGAGGTTCTGAGTATATTGAGAGCAGAGTTGTTTCTGTAGCCTAGTGGCTTTGGGCATTGGTTTGGTGGTGTGGCTACTTGAGGACCACCACTTTCTACACACTTCTCAGTCTCATCACTATGGATAATGCCCGAAACCGCCACCTAAACCCTCAGCCGAAACGCTGGACCGTAAACCCTGAACCACAGTTTCACATAACAGATGCACCAAGTCACATCCACGCCTCAAAGCCCCAGGACAGGCAAGCAACAAGCCCCGAACCGCCCAACAAGAAACCTCGGCCTAAACCTAAAAGAATGCCCAACGCCTTACACACTCCAAAAAGTCTAAACCTCCAAATCCTACAACCCTCAACCCTAAACCCTAAACCCCGAACCCCCATAGGCCCTAAAAAGGCTACGCCCGAGGTCGGTGCAGCAGCTACGGGAACTGTCAGACATGCGTGAGCAGGCTCCGTTCCGCCCCTTCCGGTTGCGGAGCTTGACTTTTGACATGCAGACCTTTGGGAGGGGGAGGGTTTGGGGTTTAGGGTTTGGGGTTTAGGGTTTAGGGTTTAGGGTGTACTGTGGGAGGGGGGGCTTTAGGGTTTGGGGTTTAGGGTATTGGGGTTCAGGGTTCTGGGTTTAGGGTTATGGATTTGGCGGAGGGGGGGGGGAGGGGGGGGGGCGGTGAGGGTCGGTCTAGTATGGTATAGAGAACCTATATAGTCTTAAGGTATGTATATACATATACATATTTATGTAATTACTTACACGCGCCTTAGGGCAGTCCAACCCAGGAATTTCCATCTGGGGTCCATGATACTGGTCAACCCATCCTCGAGCGTTAAACCCCTAATAGACGCTAAGCCCCTAAACCCTACACTCTAACCTAAACCCTAAACCCTAAACCCTAAAACTTGTGCGAAGCCCTTAAACCCTGAATCCTAAACGCACAGGAGGCCTCTTGTCGGTTGGCCAATGTCGAGGGACGCACCGACGGCGACCTGCCCACGACAGGGTTTCAGGGTTTAGAGTTCATGTCTGGGGCTTTCTTCAGGGATCTAGTAAAGGTATAGGGTTTAGGGTTTCGGGTTTAGGGGCTATAGAAGGGACCCTTAATCTTATTCCCCGACATCGCCCCTATATATAGTGCAGCGTCGCTGCCCCCCCCACCCCCCCCCCCCCCAATGGTCCCCCCATACCCCCCCCCCCCCCCCCCCCCCCCACGCCCCCCCCCCCCCCCCCCCACGCCCCCCCCCCCCCCCCCCACGCCCCCCCCCCCCCCCCCCCCCGAAATTCTTTCCCCCGCCCCCGCCCCCCTGTGGTTTGGGCCTTTCTGTGGGGTGGTGTGGTTGGGGTTTAGGGTTTAGGGTTTAGGGTTTAGGGTTTAGGGTTGAGGGTTGAGGGTTTAGGGCTTAGGGTTTAGGGTTTAGGGTTTAGGGTTTAGGGTCCGCGCCCCGCCCCCCTGTGGTTTGGGCCCTGTGGGGTGGTGGGCTTGGGGTTTGGGTTGAGGGTTTAGGGTTTAGGGGTCTAGGGTTTAGGGTTTAGGGTTTAGGGGGGGTGGGGGGGGGGGGGGACACCGGACCCGGAACCATATATACACCCCCTTTTGCCAGCAGAAACACGCCAGACTCGACATTCCGCGGTCCCCTGCCACTACGGAGATGAAGGATAGTAAGAATCATACGAGTGTATCACTAAGGACGCGCAGACTAAGAATACATAGCCTTAACAAAAATACTTGTCCACCTGTCTTCGGAGTGCTCCAGCTGAAAGACGAGACCCCCTGGGAAAATGTAGGCCGTAAGCCCAAAAAAGCCCACACCAGAAACCCCTGAACCCTAAAAAACCCCAAACCCTAAACCCTAAACCGAGTCTAAGGCGAGTTCCAGAGGGTGATCGCCCTTGCAGAAGGCAACTTTGACTTGGTAGCCCAGTGGTGCCCTTCGAGCCCTTGTTTGGTGCTCTTGGTTGCCTAAGAAGTAAGGGGGTTTAAGGTTTAGGGTGTAAGGTTTAGGGTTGAGAGAGAGAGAGAGAGAGTGAGTGAGAGAGAGCGAGAAAGAGGGAGAGTGATGGTCAAGGAGAGCCGTCACGGACGTCTCCAGTCCACCAAGGGGGCACAAAGCAAGGTAATGTTGCACCCGGTTTAGTATCGGCCGCCGCTTTAAAGACAAACTGGCCGAATTATTCAGGACACCCTGACTGTTTGGGAGTCCCTCTTTAAAGACAAATCGTCCGGGCGCCGTAAGAAAATTCCACGCGCCGCGCCTTAAAAAAGATAGCCGGGCATCACTGCCCCTTTTGAACTTATCTAAGCTCCACCCTATTAGAATCATATGAACCCGGGGCCGTGTAATCAGGATCCCATCCGCGCCTCCGACTGTCCAGGGGGGGGGGGGGGGGGCCCACACTAAACTGGGTGCCACATTACTCCCCGACATAGGAATATCGAGCTGTTCTGGCCACCAGGGGCACCAAAATGTTATAAGACGAGGTTTAGGGTTTAGGGTTTAGGGTTTAGGGTCTTCCCGGCTAGCAAGCGTACAGCGAGTTGCTGTAGCTCGGATTTGAAAGCCCCCCACACCCCCAAGCCTTGTTGCCGCCGCAGGGCTTTTCTTCCCTCTAAGCCCTGGATTCTGCGACCTTAAACCCTAAAAAGCCCAACAAAAACCCTACAACCCTAACCCCCAAACAAACCCTAAAGACCTTAAACCCTCAACCCTAGAAACCCTAATAACCTTAAACCCAGAAAGCCGATCTGGGATGCATAACTCTTCCCCCCTATGCGTCCAATCCTAACAAACAGGGGCACCCTATCGATTCTGGGTTTAGGGGGGGCTTTAGGGTATAGGGCTTTGGGGCTTATGGCTTAAAAAGGCTAAAAGGGGTCACTAGGCAACCTAGTCCTGATCCTGACCCGAGATTCAACATTCTCCGTTATATATATATATATATACGTACATATATATATATATATATATATATATTTATTTTTTTTTCGTTGTTTAACATAAATGGTTGTCCAAAGGAAGGCTTAAGTCTGCGTAGCAGTCGACCAAACGGCTCCTGCCTCTTTTGGAGCAGCATACTAGAGCCGCCCATTGCTGGTTTTTAGGGCTTCGGGGAGCCATTGCAGCTTTAGGGGTTTAGGGGTTTAGGGTTGATTCGGGCTTAGGGGAGCCTTCAGGTAAAAGCTAAACCCAGGAAAGCCCCGGAAAACCGGTGTTTGGGGCTAAGGGGTTGTCGTTTTCGGGTTCAGGAGGGGCGCCAGGATGCCGTGCGAAACTGGCGTAGCACTACATGTCCCAGGACGCCAATCGGTAATACTATATCCCCCCTTGGGGTTTTTTGTTTGTTTTTGTTTGTCCAAAACCCACGAGGCTACTAAAAACCTTATTTCTATTAAGGTTCTAAGGGGAGTATAGAATATGGGGGTCGGAATCATTTCTAGTATGATTCCCTTAGGGTCCCTGTACAACTATACCATAATCACCCCCCAAGACCCCAGTTTTTTTATTCAGGCCCCTATATTGCCTTCATCCCTCCTTTGGTTCTGGGTTTCTCTACTTAGAAAGAGAGACTGGGGTTCAAATCAGTTCGGTGTTTTTCGGCGCTAAGCCCAGGCGTCAGGGGCTTGCATATGAAGTAATAAACTCAAGGGTTCACAAGCTCGGGTGCTGGGGACTATCCTCAACAACAAAAACCGCAATTCCCGCATGCTCGCAGAACGCGTGATGAGCTTCCTCCGTGAGTCAGAGCTTGAGCGGGCGCGGCTTTGGCATCAAATGTCAGTGCCTCGCTCGGACATATAGACTGTTTAAGTTGCAGTTGAGATCGTTCGTGATAAGGCCCTAAACCACTTGGCGTGGGCACACCGTTGTGGAGTTATCTCCAGTCTCATCATGTCGACTATGGTTTGCATCCCCGGCTATGGCTTGTGTTAGTTCTCGGGCTACTTGTGAGCACAAGGGTTTCGTGCCCATGGGACTGGGTCTGATGTCAGTCTGGGGTGTACTTGGGCTCGTGCTGTCATAGTGTGGCACCTGTCTTTTAACCACAAACCCTAAACCCTAAAAGCTCCTCCTGTATTTCTGGTGCTTTTTGTGACTTGCACCCCGATAATTCAACCTTGACCCCGAAACCCTAAACCTCGCGCAAGTGCGCCGCGCCCTGCACTTTACTCATATATCTCATATGGAGAGGTAGAAAGGTCTAAGACCGTTTTTGTTTTTGAGCAGGGCGGGGGGGCGGGGGGGCGGGGGGGCACGGGGGGGGGGGGGGGGGGGGGGGGGGGGGGGGGGGGGGGGGGGGCCGGGGAGGCTTAGCGTTCTGCCAGGTGTTGTTCCCAAGATTCATCCAAGATGAGGAGGAGGACGCTGACAAGAAGATGCCACCAGCCCTTCATGAGAGCGAGCGCGAGCGATGCGTTTCAGGGTTCCGGATTTGTTTTGGGTTTCGAGTATGCTAAACCTGGGATGTGTTACGTACACGAGTTTTTGATTTTGGGGTGTTGGAAACGGAAAGTGCAGGATATTATCTGAAGGTTGCAAGCAGAGCAGTTTTGCTTGGGAAGGGGTGGAGATCTCTTCGACCCGGCTTTACATTTAGTCACCCATGAACTTGAATTTCAAAGTCGTCACCTCAGCAGAAAGAAGGTTGCATACCAGGGGAGGGGGGGGGGGGGGGGGGCGGAAAAATACTTTAGCGGTAGGAGTCCACTCAGAGTTCAGAACTCCCAAACCTTGTTCGAAAAAAGAAGGTAAACCCTAAACCCTAAACCCTAAACCCTAAACCCTAAACCCTAGACCATAAACCCTAAACCCTAAACCCAACACTGAGGACACTGACGGAGGCTCGCATGTATGCCTTGGATATCCGCCTGGACACCTTAGAGGCGCGGCGGATTTTGGCTTCAGCTAGGGCTTAGGGTTTAGGGTTTAGGGTTTAGGGTTTAGGGTTTAGGGTTTAGGGTTTAGGGTTTAGGGTTTAGGGTTTAGGGGACTAGATTTTTCGGGGGCCCGCATTCCTTCTGTTATTCACAAACAGTCTACTGTTGGGGTTCTAAGTTCATTTAAAGATTGCCGACATTCTGAGGGACTGTTGCCGGGTTCCTGGGCTGCTTGTCTCCCTTTTGTCTCCCTTTTGTCTCCCATTTGTCTCCCTTTGTCTCCCTTCATGTGTGTGGCTTTGCCGGGTTGCTGTGCTCCTCGCCTCCCTTTGGCTCCCTTCGTGTCCCGTTGTCTCCCGTCGTCTCCACTGTTTCTTTGATGCGCCTGTTTGGGGTCTTCGGTGGTGTAATTTGGTTCGGTTCCCTTTTTGCCTATCTTGAACTCCCCCGATCTAGTTGGAGTTGAGGGTTGAGCAGTTCAGGGTTTAGGCCGGGGGGTGGGGGGAGGGTCGTTTCAGTGAGTTTTGGGGTACAGGGGTCTTGGGGGATACTGGTTGCTGAGGTTGGGTGTTGCAGTTCACGACTCTGACGTTCGAGTACGGGGTTTGGAGATTTTGCGCTGCCCTAGATCCCGAGATGCAGGCAAGGTACACCTAGAGTAACGTATATATTCTTACACAATGAATTGAACTTAGATAGACACCCAAAACCCGAAAGCCCTCTTGAAGGGTTAAGGGCATACCGCAGGCCTCCTTAGGTAAGCCCTGTAGTCACAGGGGTAGGGGGTAGTTGTTCGAAAAAACACCTATCCCCTAAACTTACCGTAAAGGTAGGTTCTCTGTTTCGTAACGATTCGCCTCTTAAGGGGCTCTTAAACCCTAAACCCTAAACCCTAAGCCCTAAACCCTAAACCCTAAACCCTAAGCCCTAGAGCTCCCCTCTTTCCCCCCCGTTTTGGCCACTCCGGTTCGCTGCACTGCTGGAGCCTGTCTCTTCTTGATGCGGTTTAGGGTTTAGGGTTTAGGGTTTAGGGTTTAGGGTTTAGGGTTTAGGGTTTAGGGTTTAGGGTTTAGGCTTCTGACTGAGGGTTTTGAAAGGCCGCCCGAAAAAAGCAGAAACCCAAGCATGAGACCCTGAAGCCTGAAGACGGAAATCCGAAGACTGAGTTTGACGGGTTATGTGTCTCAACAGCCAGCACCATGCACAGCTCAGCTACCAAAGAAGGCAGAACAGACCCGAAACCCAAGTTCCAGACTAAACCCTAATTCCGACCTAAACCCTGAACCCTGAACCAACCCTAAACCCTAAACCCTAAACCCTGAACCCTAAACCCTGAACCCTAAACCCTAAACCCTAAACCCAAAAGGCCCCGGAGGCCCGAAGACTTGAGGTTTGGGCTTTGGTGTTTAGGGTTCGGGGTTCGGGGATCAGGGGTCCGACAACCTCTCCCCCAAGGCAGCTAAGGGGTACAAACCCTAAACCCTAAACCCTAAACCCTAAACCCTATACCAATTTCTATGACCCCCCCCCCCCCCGCCCCAGCAAACCCTAGCGGCCATGCCATACTCAGCCCTAGAAAGCCCGAGTTTCGAGAACCTGGAACCCTAAACCCTAAACCCTAAAGCCGACAACCTCATCTGCGCGAAGGAAGCAGCTCAAACTCGACTGCCGGAAGCCCTAAACCCTGAACCTGGAGCCCGAGTCCCGCATAAACCCTAAACCCTAAACCCTAAACTCAGGGTGGCATCATCCGGCTGCTGGCCCGAGATCCCCAGTGCATGCCGAAGCCACGGCCACTCTGAAATTCCTTGGGGGCGTTTAGGGTTTAAGGGTTTAGGATTTAGGGTTTATGGTTTGAGGATTTAGGGTGGCGGGGTTTGGGGGTTTCAGGGTTTAGGGGTTTAGGGGTTTGGGGGTTTAAGGCTTTAGGGGTTTAGGGTTGAGGGGTTTGGGGGTTTTGGGGTTTCGAGGCTTAGGGTTTAGGTAATTTAGGGCAATTTACTGCATGGAACCTAACCAACTCCTAAACCCTAGATGGTCCGTCCTCCACATGTTTGTTCCTTTGCAGATTTAGAGCCCTAAACCCTAAACCCTAAACCCTAAACCCTAACCCTGAACCCTGAACCCTGAACCCTAAGCCCCAAAGCAAGCCATCCTGCCGAAACCCTAAACCCCAAACCCTAAACCCCTAACCCCTAAACCCTAAACCCCAAATCCTAAACCCCAAACCCCAAACCTTAAACCCCAAACCCTAAACCCTAAACCCCATACCTGGGCCCGAACTCTCGGAGAGAACGGGATGGACGCACGGCTTCCGGGAAGGATGTAGGGTTCAGGGTTTAGGGCTTAGGGTTTAGGGTTTAGGGTAGTTGCGGTTTGTAGACAAGACCTTTGCACGACTTTTTGTTGAAAGCAGTATTCGGGAAGCCTGTTCTGCAAGTAAGGCCCTCTTGCAATGTGTTCCTTTTTGGTTTCTTAGGCTTCCAAGGTCTAGCGCTGGCCTCGCCCCAAACCCGAAACCCTGAACCCTCAACCCTAAATTCGAAACCCTAAACCCTGAACCCTGAACCTTAAACTTACCCAAAACCCTAAACCCCAAATTACTGCTCTTTTCTCTTCGGACAAAGCAGGCGGCGGCGCACCATAAAATCCTGTGGCTAGGGAGGCAGGCTCTGACAAAATAGCACCAACAAAATGAGGGTATGCTGTTTAGGGTTTAGGGTTTAGGGTTTAGGGATACGGGGGGGGACCAGGGGGACCCCAGTTGTTCTTGAGGAACCTTTCAAGACAAGGGTGTTAGATTTCGGGCTCGAGGTAATGGGAATTCGGGTTTTTGGTCGCCGTTACACTACTATTTCCTTCAGAACCCCCCCCAACAAAAATGAAAGATAAACACCCCTATATCCCTATATTGCCCTTAGAAGGACGATTATTGTTTAGTTTTTGGGGTTCTTAAGCTATTGGTAGTACAGGGTTGTAGGCTGTGGCATGGCTCCGAGGTTTGCATCAAGGTCTTAAGACTTTTCACGCGCCTGAGCATAAGGGCTTCTCCTTGCAGGCCTTGTCATATAGGGTTTAGGGTTTAGGGATTAGGGTTTAGGGTTTAGGGTTGAGCTTCAGGGATTTTGGACTTGGGGTTGAGTGGCGCTGAGAGGGGCTTATCACCCGAGGCGACGGTACACCCGCCGCGTGCAAGACGATCCAGATGTCGACTTATGCCACACGGCGATATTGGGAGTTTAGGGTTTAGGGTTTAGGGGTAAGGGTGGCCCGTTGAGGATCTCTGCAAATTGTTTATAGCATTGTCACGCACAACGTGCCTATTCTGGGAGATACCCATATCACATCGTGGCAGATGCCAAAATCATGTCGACATCTTCGTGTCTTCTGTGTAAACCTTAAACTTAAACCCTAACCCCTAAACCCTAAACCCTAAACCCTACCAAGCAGGTAATTTGAGGGCTCGGCTTCTGTTGAGTCTTTCTCTGGCAGGCTCTGCACCCTTCTACTCTTGAAGGCGCCTTCCCCCCCCCCCCCCCCGCCCCCTCGAAACCCTAAACCCCATTCCCCAACTGGCCACCATGGGCTGAGCATCAGAAATTGGGTTGTTGGACCTCATGCGCGGTGCCAAGGGGTTTAGGGCTTTGGGTGGGTGGGGGTGGGGGGGTTGGGGTTTAGTGTTTAGGGTTTAGGGTTCAGGGTTTCGGGTTACATGTGTTTAGTTTCGAGGGCTTGGGACGCGGCAGTCCCTCAAGATAAGTGGTGCTTGCAAACCGGGAGAGTTTCGGGTGCAGGGTTTACGAATCAGGCTCAAGTGTGGTTCCTTTAGTTTGGGGCTGAACGAACTTGTATGAGAACCCCACAAAGCCTAGAAACCTCTTACAGGGTTTAGGGTTTCATGTTGTGCCTACAGCTGCTCCTAAGGGCTTTGTGTTATACAGGATCAGCAGCTCAAGGTTAGACATGCCTAGCTGCCTGAATCCTGGGTACATGAGACAGCCTGGGCGCGCGAGGCGTCGCCAATCGCAGCCCTAGCCCGCAGCAAGGGAAGCGCCACACCGCCTCAGGCGCGACCCTAAACCCCCCGAACCATGAAGTGTACAATGCACCAGCCGTTTCAGGTGGTTGTACTGCCTTTGCTGGTGGGGTGTGAGGTTAGGTTATGGCTCGGTGTGAGCCAAGGGGCCAAGGGGGCACCCTTCCTGCGAATCCGATCCTGAATGCTCGAAGACTGTCCTGGCTAGCAAAAACTCCTCACCCCTTCAACCCCTAACCCTAAACCCTAAACCCTAAACCCTAAACCCTAGAGAAACTTGCATCAGGCGTCGTCAACCGCAGTCCTAGCCCGCTGCAGATGCAAGGGAAGCGCAACACTGCATCAGGCTCGACCCTACTTGGGGAGGTTCAGGATACTTATAACCCAATTATACCCCACTAAGTAGGGTTTAGGGTTTAGGGTTTAGGGTTTAGGGTGTAGGGTTTAGGGTTTAGGGTTTAGGGTTTAGGGTTTAGGGTTTAGGGTTTAGGGTTTACCCCAATGGGGAGGTAAAAATTGGGTTATAAGTACAGTGAGAATTGGGTCACTAAGTACCATGAACCTCCAAGTACGCCCCGGCCTTCCAAATTTAGTTTTGGCTCGGGGGCGTCCTGAATTGGGATGTTCCCCCTCATACTACTGTTACAGTCATGAATAGGGATTTTCATAGGGGTACTAGAATCCCTATCAAGGACTGTTAGTCTAAGGGGGAACATCCCCAGTCCTGAACTATAAGGAAGGTCTAGGATCCTTTAGTGATGACTTGTTTTTGCACTTCAGGGGCCCTTTGTACTTCGTAACCTGCTCACCAAGTCTACGTATGGCTTGTAGGGTTTGGGCTTTGCAGTGATGAAGCTTGAATGGAGGGTTAAGGGTTCGGAGGGTTAAGGGTTCGGCGGGTCGCGAAAGTAACCTACATACCGTTACATACCCTGAGCAGAAGAACATCTACCGTGAAACAAGGTAGATTGCACATATCCGTCTTTGAAGAGTCAAAAGGCTACTCTAGGCTTCATGTTCCCTAAACCCTGAACCCTTTAGACCCTATAAAACCCTAGACCGGCACTAAACCCTAAACCCTAAACCCTAAACCCTAGACGCTCAGAGGTTCCAGTTTGGGGTTCAGCGCGCACTCCCCAGGCGAAGAGGGTGACTGCGCCACCCACGCCTCCGTGCCAGAGACCCCAGTGTGGCAGCACCGTCGCAGTGTGTTTAGGGTTTAGGGTTTAAGGCTTAGGGCTTAGGGTCTAGGGTTTAGGGTTTAGGGTTTAGGGTTTAGGGTGATTGGTTTCGGGTCTCGGGTTGGCATGCAAGCAAAGTCGAGTGGACTACTGGCCGGGCCCTAAATTATCATGCCACACGCAAGAACTGACTGAGGTGTACTTCTTTGTTTTTTCTCGGGTACCCAGGCTACTCTGGGAAGAGCCGAAGACGAAGCCGAGGCTTGAGGTCAAGGGTCAAAAGTAAGTACAAAGCCGGCAAGGAGACGAACAAGGGCACAGCGGACGTATTGGTTCCGCAGAAGCAGTAGCGCATTCTTGTCACCGGTGTTGAAAGAAGGTCGTCGATCGCTTGTGTACTTCGTGACACAAAAAGCATGGCTTCATCAAGAGGATCTGCAGGCTGTTTCTGGAGGACCCGAAGCCCTAAAAGCCAAAACCTTAAACCCTTAGGTCATCCGAAGGATGGGCCCTTAATCTGGGTGCCTTGTGATATAACCCTTATCTACACTATACATACTAACGGCCCATACTTCGGATCCCTTTATATATGCCTTGGTTTAGGGTTTAAGGTTTAGGGTTTAGGGTGTAGGGTTTAGGGTTTAGGGTTTAGGTTTTAGGGTAAGGGACCACAGGAAGGGCCCATGGTTCCAACCTTATAACCCTGTTACATCCATCGAGGTCTCCGTCCTCCAGCCCTGAGCCACGGCAGCTCCACGGCAAAAAGTTGTACTGCACATAGCATGTATGTGTATATATGTATATATATATATGTACGTATATATTCATATGCAGATATGTATACATATATACATATATACATATACCTGGACCTCCCAAACGGCAGAAATTTCTGTTGTTTCAAGAAAAAACTGTTTTTCGGGCCAAGTTGAGGAAAAAATGCTCAGCGACATTTTTCACATTTCAGCACTTTTGTTGCTGCTGATGGTTTTGGCGGCGGCGTTATTTGCCGTTCAACAGGCGTTATTTGGCGTTCTAAAGGCGTTATTTCCCGTTCGTCGGCACTTGCTGTTTTTGCTCAAAACCAAGACGATCTTTTTTCTCGAAAAACGCGTTTTTCCAAAGCAACGACTGAATTTTCATTACTTTCAAGCAACGGCGGAAATTTTTGTTCCTGGGGAGGTCCAGGTATGTATATATATATATATATATACCACGCATTGTATACATACACATATATGTGTATATTCCTACGTGTATATATATATATATATACATACACACATGTGTATATATATATATATATATATACATACATGTATGTATATATATATATGCATGTATAAGTATATTTATACATATATGTATATATGTATATATATATATATATATATATATACGTGTGTCTGTTTGTATATGCTCATCGGACATTTAGGTTTCTCTTTGGCATGTGCCTTTGGGGCAATTGAATGTCGAACATTATAATTAAAGGCCTCGGGAGGCACCACTATTATTTTGTTATTTGATATCCTTTATGTATGTGTATTTCTATATGTACATAGTTTGCTTTAGAGCATATACACTTAGATTAAAGGTTTACATGCAGATTTCTGGGCCTGAAACCTTTGGGTTTTAGGGCTCTGGCTTAAGGATTTGGGGTGTAGGGTTTAGGGTTTAGGCTCAAGCTCGGAGTGTTCTGCAGGGCTCTGTGGGCCCCGGTATATGACGTAGCAGCACTTCGTCCACCCTGGCGAAGGCCCCTGCAACTTCCGACGCTGGACCAGGCCGATGGTGCTTGGTTTTTGTTTGCGCAGTGGAGCCTAGTGGGGTTTAGGGTTTTAGGGTTTTAGGGTTTTAGGGTTTTAGGGTTTTAGGGTTTTAGGGTTTTAGGGTTTTAGGGTTTTAGGGTTTAGGGTTTAGGTTTGCAAAACATGGCTCACCCAAACTGGACTGGATCAACTAGGGTGTAGGGTGGGTCTACCCCACTGTTTGAGGCCTAATCCACTGGCCTTTGTGCAGAGGAAGCGCCGTTGGCCCCGCCATAGGCCATGGCCATGTATCTTCACGACCCCCGCCTCTCAGGTAGAGTTTAGGGCTGCAACCAAAGGCTCAATCGAACGGTAGTTGCGAGAAGGTATCTGCATTCCCCAGACAGGGAGCCAGCACTCAACCCGAAAAACAGTATACACTTTCCCTCTACAAGCCCTAAACCAGCAAGCCCTTAAACCCAAAAAACCCTAAACCCTAAACCCTAGACCCTAAACCTCGATATCAAAGAGGCCAAGCCAGGATCGCGTGATTCGAAGCTGAGGGAGCTCCTGCTGCGGCAGCAGGAGACCCTTCTGGGCTTAGGGGTTTAGGGTTTAGGGTTTCGGGACCCTGCTCAACCGAGGGGGGCGGGGGGGGGGGGGTGTCGGTGTTTTAGTCATGGGTTTAGGCTCTGGGTTCTATAGCCTACGTAGGCTTTAGGGTTAAGGGTTTTCGCTAAAGTTCATATTGTGCAGTGTGAAATTGATTTCCGACGGTTCTTGATTCACGGAATCGGGTGGGAGTCTAGGGCAGAAGAACATCCGCCCATGACTCGCACATATCCAGCCCTCAATCCAGGAAGTGCCCATCTGCTCAGCCCAAACCGGTTGTAAGCCTTACTTGGAGGTTGACGGTTAGTTAGAAGTAGGGTTGTCAGTAGCCTGAACGAGGCTATAAATACAGCTACTGTGCTTATAACCCTCCTGTTTTGCTACCCGTGAACCTCCAAGTAAGCCTGGTTTAGGGTTCAGGGTTCATGAGGGTTTTGGGGTTCGGAGCGTCGCATTCCGACTAGGACCCCGAGTCCTTCTGGAAAGGCTTTGGCCAAGGCAGACCCGAAGCCCACAGCCGTATAGCTCCCGAACTCCTGTAGCCATAAGTTTGAGTGTTTGGGCAGTTTGTAGGGTGTAGTGCCACCCTGCGCCCTCTCCCCGCCCCCCCCCCCCCCCCCCCCCCCCCCCCCCCCCCCCCCCCCCCACCAAACTTCGGAGTCTTTGTCACTTTGAGGACCTGACTTGAGCTGTCGAGAAAGTCACCTCGAATCTTTTGCTCTTGGGTAGTCTGTTTCCTGTACAAAGCTTATTACTAACCATTAGTTCCTCTAGGAAAGTGGACGTGTAAACTTACCCAAGCTCCAAACCCCAAAAGCCTAAACCAAAAACAAACCTCAAAACCCCAAACACAACACCCCAAGCCCTATGCCTCACGCCTCACACCCTACTCCTTCAACCCCAAACCTTAAACCCTTAAGCCCCAATCCTGCAGCCTGCCTCAGGACCTCCTTGATCGCCAGGTTTCTGACGACCAGGGCCATGGTCACCGTCCCAGACGGCAGCAAAAGCGCCCTTGTTTGGGTCTGGGACTTCCATCCTCAAGACCAATCTGCTCGAACGTTAGTTCCCCAGAAACCCTATGCCTCGAACCCGCGAGTCTAAGCCCTGACCCTTCAACGCTAAACCCTATCAGCCCAAATCCCCTAAACCCTAAATCCTCCTTAAGGTGAAAGCCGTCCTCTACCGACTCGACCAGCCTCAGCTGCGCAGGCAGCACTCGTTGGTCAGTAGGTTAGGGTTTCGCGTTTGGGGTTTAGGTTCGAGGGTCTACTTAGGGGTTAGACAGAACGAAATAGTCATAGTCTCAGATAATCTAGGGGCCTTAAAATTGAGAATAGGGTTTGTTGGGGTTATTGGACAGTTTTTAATCGGACCATGTTGGAATACGATTAGTAATTCTTCCGACCCCTATATTGCAGTTGTTGAGTTTATTTCGTAATGACATAAGACAGGAATGTATGTACGTATAGGATTCCCTCTGTGGCTCTGCTAAAGGTTTAGGGTTTAGGGTTTAGGGTTTAGGGTTTAGGGTTTAGGGTTTAGGGTTTAGGGTTTAGGGTTTAATAGCAGAGGATCAAGCCTTATAGAGGCAAGAGGGGCCCTTTTATTTTTTCGACAAGAAGAAAACGTCTCATTACCAAAAACCAGAAGGGTTTAGGGTTTAGGGTTTAGGGTTTAGGGTTTAGGGTTTAGGGTTTAGGGTTTAGGGTTTAGGGTTTAGGGTTTAGGAATAAGCAGGTCTTGCTATCTCGTATTCAAGGAAATTCGGCGGGCTCTTTTTTGATATGAGCAGAAGACCAGATCTCGTGTTCGCGAAGACGAACGGTTGACTGTAAAACACTTTATCGGTTGACTGTAAAACACTTTATCATTCAGAGAAGAACGAGTGTTCTCAAATGTAAGGATCAAGAGAAGGAAACGAGAGGGCGATCTATATGTTTTCGTACGACGCATAAGAGCACTGTTGGATTATATCTTGGCAATATCATGTTCAGAAGATCCTCTCATTCAGAGGTCTTATTGCAAACTTGATTTGTACCACAAGGAGAGCCTATATCATGATGTTTTATAGGAGCACTTCTTCTTGGGTAGGTTAAAAACAAAAGACATTTATTTCTCATTGGGTGTGTTATTGAGAACCTCGCCTTTTACTTCTCAACAAAGACAATTTCTTCCTAAACAAACACTTGCTCAAACACCAGGAGCGTTCTCTTTGCTTTTTCGAGAACAAAAAGTACTGTTAGTTTCTGACCCAGGAAAACAACGAAGCTTGTGCGAAATCGAGGGCACAGGTCTATGTACCAGCAAATCAAGAAATATAGTGGGACAACCGCGCAAACGCGGCTGCCTCGGTTCCATGTTCACGAAATGTAACATAATCATAAGCCCAAATGTGGCACTGCCATGTACCTTCCCAGAATTCTTGCCGGTGGCGCCGAAAGTTTGGACGTGTTGCGGTTGACACTTGATGGGGACCTCTCGAGGTCTTGGGACCTCGCAGCATTTCGTGAAACCCTACACCCAGAGACTCCAAAACCCCTTAATTAAGGAATATACCTTAAATCATATTAGGGTTCCTAATATAATTTAAGGTATATTCCTTAATTAAGGGGTTTTGGAGTCTCTGGGCACCCTAAACCCGGAGGTGAAAAGGTCCCATGTTGTAGGGGGTCTGGGAGCATAGAACCTCGAGAGGTCCCAACAAAGCCAATAACTACCCAGAGACTCCAAAACCCCTTAATTAAGGAATATACCTTAAATTATAATAGGAACCCTAATATGATTTAAGGTATATTCCTCAATTAAGGGGTTTTGGAGTCTCTGGGTAGTATTTGCGTAAGACTTACTGTTGGCTAGTACGGAATCAGGGAATGAGGTACCACATATCCTCCTCTATATACCCTGAAAAAGATTTTAGAGGGTACCTCATACATTCCCTCATTCCCTACGAACCAACAGTAAGAAGAACCCCCCCCCAAAAAAAAAAAACAAAAAATGAATTCTTCCTTGTAAGAGGAATATATGGATTATTAGTTTGTGCTTTTTGCGGGTATATTCTTCCTCGTAAGGGCAATATGGGGTTGATTATGTGATTTTTTTTTTTTTGGGGGGGGGGAGTTCTCAAGCAAATAGAAGATAAACATCCATGTTTCAGGGGTCCGGCGGGGAGCGTGAGCCGGCAGGGACCCGTGAAACATTGGCTTTCTTGGCTGGGTTCTGGGTTCTGGGTTTAGGGTTTAGGGTTTAGGGTTTAGGGTTTAGGGTTTACTGGGACTTCTCGAGCGTTTTCGGCTCCCAAAGCCCCAGAGCATTGGGACCTCACAGCATGGCGTGTCTGAGTGCAAAAGCCCTAAACCCTAAACCCTAAACCCAGGAAACCTCGGGAAGTCTCAACGTGTTTGGCATCCCATGGCCCCCCAACATCCCCAAAACATTGGGACCTCACAGCATTTCGCGAGCTCGGGAGCGCAGAAACGTCAGGAGGTACCCATGTTTTTACGGGGTACAGAGTTGTCAGGCTCAGTGAACATACCCAACAAAAAAATGGTTTCGGGAGTGCAGAATTGTCAGGCTTGGCTTCATACCCGAGAGAAAAAGGAAGAACAGACGGAAAATAGGTGGATCCCTGCAGGGAGCTATATGAGCGACTACTTTTATTACGTTGCAGGAGGTCTCTTGTGGCGGAGATAAAAACCCCATGTCGTGCCTGAAACCTCGGAAAGCGATGGGCCCCCCCCAAAAGCGATACCCTGAATCTTGAATACAAAAGTCGTTCTGCAACCATGTCATGATTTCGGGTGTTGGGTGCTATTCCAGAGCGATACTGAAAGCGATAACCCTACGATACCCATTTGGTCACCTGAAGAGCTGGGCAAAGGCCCTGGCCCAGGTTGAGGGTTCGAGGTTTAGGATATGGATTTCTGATTCGAGCAGCGAGAGCTCCAGCTCCTGGAAAAGGAGCACTCGCACTCTTTGATTTATAGGTCCTAAAGAAAGGAAACGGGTTTAAGAATTCAGGAGTTTTCACGGTAGGGTTGCAGGTTTCGGGTCTCATATGCAGTAAAGCGATAGGTTTTCGTAGCAGCATTGAGCTAAAGTCCCATAAAGCGATAGGGCCCCCCCCAAAAGCGATACCCCATGATTTTTTAATTAGCATTTACATAAGATTTTTTGCGGGTGCTCATATATGTACGTGTATGACTTATGTCAAGGCAGGGCTTTACGGTTTAGGGATTGGGGTTTGGGGTTTAGGGTGGGGTTAAGGGGTTAGGGTTTGGTATTTGGGCTTTAGGGTCTAGGGTTTCGTAGGGTGTCAGGGTGATTCGGGATGTGAGGTTTGAGGGGGCTTGAGGAAGGGAAGTATACACGTAATGACCAAGGCAGGCAGATTTTACTTTGTGTTGGGGCTTTATGTGTTACTCTAAGTAGGGTTTCGTTTGCTTGGGGTTTCAGGTTTTGGGTTCAGACGATCCCTTTCCTGTAATCCCAGTTGCATGTGGTTGTGCCACTGTTGTGGCGTCCTCCCAACAGTGACATGCTGCAGTCGTCCGGCATGTGAGGCATATCAGCTACTTGTCTTTGGCATCGGTTTCGTCCACGAAGCTGAAAGATGCCTTTGAATTCGGCGACCGTCGGCCACCTCGGTTTGCTCATCTTGCCACGCGGATTCCTCTCAGGCATTTTGGCTGGCGTTTCCAGCCGCAAAATGTTGCACTGGCGCCTGCTTGCATGTGTGGTCTGCCAGTGCCCGCATTTTGAGGCTGAACGCGCTGCATCCGCAGATTTGCTTCTGCTGTCTTAGCTACCATTCTTCCCGGGCTCTTTGGCGACCTCACCTCTGCGCAGGGGTTGACATGCTGGTGTCTGACAAACCAACGCCTTAAGCTTTAAACACTGTGGACCTAGATTCTCCGAAGCTCAACCGCCAACCTCGCAGCCCGAGCTCCAGTTCAAGAATTGCCTGGCGATCAGCGGGTAGCACTAGAACTGGGGTTTGTGGAGGGCTCGCCTGGGGCCTCTTAACCTTGCCCCAAGCACAGGCAACCACATCGAACGGGCGTGACCTGATCGCGCACATTGCAACGGCCCTGCAGGCCGGGGACGGGTGTTTGCGTGTGAAAGAGAGAGTGTGAGTGTGACAGTGTGTGAGCATGAGAAAGTGTATGTGTATTTGCATGTGTATATGTATGTGCATGTGTATGTGTATGTGTATGTATATCTATATATCTCTCTCTGTTTGAATCTGGGCAGGATCCACATCTCCACAAAGCTCGCCATCCATCCTCGGGGCGCACCAGCTGCAATTGCCTGGTGTGGAGGCTTTAGTCTTTAGCGGTTTAGGTTTGGGGTTCTAGGACCCGGAGTAGGCCCTTGCTTCCTTTTCTTTAGGGTTGGGGTTCCCCTATCATCCCCCTTAAAACCAAAAAGGTGCCCTTTTATTCCTAGGTTACTCCCGGGTCTAGGCTTTATCGGGTGTACAGAGAAGCGTTTGGTTGTCGAAATCTTTTTGTATAGGATGGGCCGCCACCCCCCCCCCCCCCCACCCCCAAACCCTAAACCCGTCAGTTCCCTTGAAGAGGGGGGGCCATGTAATCAGCCGGGACCCTTGAGGGAACGGAGCAAGCCCTCCCCCCAACCACACAGACGTTGGGCCCTAACAAGGGGGGGGGGGGGTTTCGGGCTTCGGGTTGAACAAAGGGATCTTATAGGGTTTGGGGTTTGGGGTCCGGGGTTAGGTTTTAGGGTTTAGGGAGCCGGGTTTAGGGTTTAGTGTTTGGGGTTCAGGGTTCGGGTGTAGGTTTTTTGGGTCGCTCCTGTTTCAGTAGTACGCAGAACGCAGAATCGCGGGCAAAACCTACACCTGTCCCCGGTACGTAAAGTGACTCATCTCCTCTTTCAAGAACGCCATCAGCAAAAGCCCTAAAACCTAAACCCCAAGCCCAAAGCCCAAAGCCCTGAACCCTAAACCAAAAGATTCTGAACCTTGCAACCACGTACGACAGAGTGCACAGGACTTGGCTCAGGCCATTTCAGAAAGTGATGTTGGCGTGGAGTCCCCGAACTTCCGACAACGGTGTGCCTTTTGCAAACACCACCCGTACCGATGTACCGAGACCCAGCTCAATTTGTGTCGACTGGCAGCCCAACAACGTCGAGCGGACGTGCGGAATAAAAGAGCCTTCAGCGATTCGACCCTGAACGCTTTTACCTTCACCAGAATCAGTGGTGCCACCATCGCATATGGACGTGGCCCTGTGGAAGCACTGGTTGGCTCCAGAACGATGGAACCCTGGAGTACCATCGTAGACCAATGGCGCCCTCCAGAGCATGGGGAGCCCATTGCGATGGTAGTATGACTCCTGCTTCTCTCTGCAGAGACTCTTAAGGGGTCTAAGGAGGGAGCCCATCGCGATCGTAGTATGACTCCTGCTTACAGCGCTTACTACAGGAGTCGGAATACTACTCGTATTCCCTTATGGCCCCTGTAGAAGTGCTCATAACCTTACAGCTTCCCATGAACCTAAAGTATGTGCGGCTGAGGATGTCCTTAGAGAGCGCCGTGCTGGATGTCATGGAAGAAGCAAGGCAGGAACTTCAGGGCAAACCGTTTCATCGAAAGCCAGAGTCTGCATAGGTGTTTAGGGTTTAGGGTTTAGGGTTTAGGCTTAGTTTAGGGAAACTAGGGTTTAGGGTTTAGGGTTTAGGGTTTAGGGTTGTTTAGGGTTTAGGGGCGCAGCTTTCAGCCCCTCTTTATGAAAACATGGGAGGGCCACTGAAACCCTTGCAAAGGCCCTGTCTCGAACACCATACCCCAAAACTCTGAACCCTGATGTCTAAACCCTCACCATTCATCACCGTTATGGGCAGCAGCGTTTTGTTTTTACGGACCCAAAACTCCGAAACCGAAACCGAAACCGTCGAAACCTTGAGCGCTTCAGCTGGCTACACCCTCCACACACACACAGGGTTCGGATTTTAAAAAAAGCAAGTCAAGTGCGCCCCTGGTTAAACCCTAAACCCTAAACCCTAAACCCTAAACCCTAAAGTCTAAAGTCTAAAGTCTAAAGTCTAAAGTCTAAAGTCTAAAGTCTAAAGTCTAAGCCGAGCCCTCCCGCCCACAATCTGTGGCGGGCGAGGCTTTCATTGCAGGCACCTAGACGGGCACAGGAGTTCCCCCCACCCCAAACCACACTGAGCGGGCGAGGCTTGCCGAGCGCCAGCGAGCGCTTGTCTCAATCGCGTGCCGAACCTTGTGAGGGTCGGCTCGTTGTGGATGCCTGTACGCATACTGTTCAAGACTATACCCTGTCAAGGTAACCTCCACCGAAATGCTCTGGACACGCCCCCCCCCCCCCCCGAATTGCTCTGGTGCCCCCCCCCCCCCCGTCTCTACCGACGTGCTCTGGCCACGCGCCCACCCCCCCCCCCCACCCTCTGACCCCCTCCTTGCCTGGACCGAAATGCTCGACTGCCTCTGGCGACCGCCCCCGCCTCCCCCCCTTGCCTCTACCGAAATGCTCTGACAGCTCCCCCCAAATTAGGCGCGGTCATTCGGGCACTTCTTCTGTGCAAGCGATCTTCAGTCTCGAGTCTTTCCAGAGCTTCGGGGGCCTTCAAAACGCGGTCATTCCAGAACGAACCATTTGAACCTTTCAGGCTCTCGAGTCCTTTCATAGGCTTTGAGGGCTTGAGGGGCCTCTGGCAACATCAGAGATACAAGCAATCTCGAACTTCAAGTCGAACCCTTCCCCGTAGCCAGTCGCAGGTGGCACTGGGTCGGTTGGGCCTGCACCTAGCCAACATCAGAGGTGAAAGCAATCTCGAACTTCAAGTCGGAGCTCCCCCGTAGCCTATCGGCCTCTACACATTGCATCATGCTTCTTATAACTGTTTTGTGTTTAGCTGTGTAGATGATATACAGTGCCTTGGGTTTTTGGGTTGTGTGAAAGACCGTATCTGTATTTTCTTGAACTCCGGGCGGTAGGGGTGGGCAAGCCAGTCCTGAACCTGCTGCACACTCTGAAGACACCCTAAACCCTAAACCCTAAGCCCTATAAACCCTAAACCCTATAAACCCTAAACCCTGACCCCCAATTCAATAACCGTAGAAGCCCTGGACTTCTCAGGGCTGAGGGTTTCGTGCTTCAGGGAAAGTCTTGAATGGAACTGCACAATAAACCCTAAACCCTAAACCCTAAACCCTAAACCCTAAACCCTAAACCCTAAACCCTAAACCCTAAACCCTAAACCCTAAACTCTCGGGACTGAAAGTGCAAGAGAAAGAAGAATATTCGAAGACCAGCGACCTGCGGCCCTACCTTGCGAAGCCATGCGAAGCCTTTGTGACGTTTCCGCCCCCTTTGAGAGGGATTAGGGTTTAGGGTTTAGGGTTTAGGGTTTAGGGTTTAGGGTTTAGGGGTTAGGGGTTAGGGTTTAGGGTTTAGGGTTTAAGGTGTCCTTGTTTGGGGCTTTATACAGTTTCTTTCGCGGTACGCCATGGTGGCATCCAGGATCGACTCTTTCAGATTGGGTTTCGGGCTGGGGTCGAGGACGATGAGTTGCTTGCACCTGAATTGACAGCCTGGAGGCCTTTGTCTCAGAAACCCTAAACCCTAAACCCTAAACCCTAAGTTTGGGAGGCAAGTGCGGTTGCAAACTGCAACCACATGAACTCAGAACACGGAGCCCGGAACCAAGTTACCAAGTAGCTCGCCAGGTCAGCCTACGACGACGTCGCTGAGGCTGGTTGAGTCTCTGCGGGTGTTGCGGTTCCGGACTAGGGTGTGAAGTTGTCCCGGAAACCTAAAACTCGTCATTAAAGCCCTTAACAACTGCTTAAGCCCTAAACCTGGAACACAACACCCAACCAACACCTGCATGGGGGAGGCAGGAGGGATTACTTGGCCCTTAGGCCCTGTAAAGCCCGCTGTACCTGAATCTCTTGCCCTCCCCACGTTGCAAACCCTACACCCCATAAGCCCTAAGAACCCTACAAACCCTGCAAACCCCAAAAGCCCCAAACAACAACCCAACACCCCAAAAAATGAAACCCTATAAAACCCTAAAACCCTACAAAAAACCTGTAAAAACCCTACAAAACCCACAGAACCCCCCCAAAAACACCCCTTAAGAAAAGAGTCCGCCCTTTCCAGGCCATGCGGGGTCTGGGCCAGTCGAACCCGAATAGCGGGCGCTGGCGCGCAGGCGCGCCGGACTCGAAGCTTGCTGGGGTTTTGGGTTCAGGGTTTAGGGTTTAGGGTTCAGGGTTCAGGGTTTAGGGTTTAGGGTTTATTGGTAGGCCCTTGGGAAGATTTTCTATGTTCCCTCATTGGGTTTAAGAGGGTCATGTCCAGGACCTCTTCGCAAGAGTGCTGTAAGACCAAACGAAGATATTCCACGTGCCCCCTTAAATATACCATGGCCTTTAGTACCCATTTTTCCCAAACCCTAAACCGTAAACCGCATCGTATGTGGACTGAAGGGTCGAATGTTAAGGGATTTTGGCGTGTTGGTGGGGGCATAGGGCTCGGGGCGTTGAACTCAAGAACATTTGGGGGTTTCCGAACTTAGGGGTACCTTACTGGGGGGGTTAGGGTTTAGGGTTTAGGGCTTTAGGAATCCTACTATTTTGGGGGTCTATTTTAGGGGTCCCCGTATGTTCGTAAACCCCCATTTAAATGCAGGGAACCCAGGATGTTGCTCCCAGGATGTTGCATGATGTTCAGATCACGGGCGCTGGGGCAGGCATAGTGTAGGGTTTCTTTCAGGTTCGGGATTTGAGAAAGCTTCTTTTTGTTTGCTGTGCACATGTCGTCAGTCTTTTTTTTAAGGTTTCTGCTCAGAACATATGAGAAGCTGAGTGTTGGAAAGTGGGGGTTTGTAGGTTTTAGGGTTTAGGGTTCAAGGCCAACCATGTATGAAGTGGTGGCGGCAATGGCCATGTGTGCACCAATCTTGCTCAACCAGAGTGGCCCACCCTCGACCCTTCACCCCATACTCCTTGTCACACGCGTGCCTTTCACTGAACACTCTGGCCCAACGACCTCGTTAAGTCAGACAAGCAGTAGCCAGGCGATGCTGCTTCCGGGCGAGTGCTGGAGCAGGCTTTGCAACACCTAAGCCGTAAACCCCAACCACTAAGCCTTGTTGAAATGCCTCGTTTCGGTTCAAGTTGAGGTTACCAAGGTTGAGTGAATGTCAGATGTGGGCTCTGGGGTTCGTGTATGCAGATGCCGGGTGCAACCGAACTGCTAAATCTGCGAAGCTCGACTTTCGACTCCTGTCCCAGAGTGTCGAACTAGCATGTTGCCAGGCTTATGAAGAAACCGTAGGCGTTCATGTCGCTTGGGGGTTTAAGTATGGATGGTCAAGCGCTCTGGTCGATACTTGACGTCCCAGGGCTCCCTAAACCCTAAACCCTAAACCCTAAACCCTAAACCCTAAACCCTAAACCCTAAACCCTAAACCCTAAACCCTAAACCCTAAACCCTAAACCCTAAACCCTAAACCCTAAACCCTAAACCCTAAACCCTTAAACCCCCTAAACCCTAAACCCTAAACCAAGGAAACCACACCCGAGGGCTCGGGTCTAAACAAGGGTTTACAAGGAGGGACCCCACCCACTTACTGTACCAACTTAGTACCAACCATAGCTAAGGGACTTATAGCCTAAGTTAGGATCCTTATAACCCAATTTAGGGTCCTTATAGCTCTAATCAATTATATATATATATATATCTAGGGGGGGGCCTCCTTGCAGGCTTCAGCGTGTCACCCCGAAGCCAGCAAGTTCTTGGCACATTGCACCTTTAAGGAGGCTTGTACGTAATTCTAGAGAGGGTTTAGGGTTTAGGGCTTAGGGCTTAGGGTTTAGGGTTAAGATACGAGCTTCCCTGGACATTTGACATCCGAGGCTGCGACTATGTGCCCTGTTCCCTGATCCAGAGTCGACTCCTCAACTCTTCAAAACCACACGGCTAGGATGCCCAGTAGTGCCCTTATTCCCTTTTTTGGGGGGTTAGGTTCCCTTATAAACCCCTTTAAGCAAAAAAGGGTACCCTTTTTAATCCTGGGTTGCTGAGCATCCTAGACGGGGTGGAGCACCTCCACCCACAAGCCTTTCCAACTCTGCGTTTGCCCAAGGGTTTAGGGTTTAGGGTTTAGGGTTTAGGGTTTAGGGTGTAGGGTTTAGGGTTTAGGGTTTAGGGTTTAGGGCCAAATACGTCTGCAAGCCTCCTGAGCCTACCTAGAGGAACTGTTATACCCTTAGAAGACATGAAATTCACCTTGATTGTTGGGTCCATTTCCCCTTTCGTTTTGAGTGCATCCTGTGTGTTGCAGAGGCACAGGGCATCAGCCATCAATCTGCCAAGCAACGCTGCTCGCCTGTGATACAGAAGCCTACTTTATTCATTAGCAATTAATGCTACAACCCATACGAAAAGTGTAAGTGGTACCCAACCGCCCTGGCTAATCAAACAGGCCATTGCATCACAAAACTGGTTTGGGAAGTGCCTGGCGACGTTGTAGTTCATTGCAGGTGGCTTGTGTTTTGCCTGATTGTATCTAGAGCCCTAGGGGGGGGCTCGGAAGTTTTTTCGCATCCATGGCCTGGAGGACTGGGATTAGAGCAGCACTGGACACATGAGTTTCCCGAAAACCCTCGACCCTTGAACCCTCTGGTGGCTAAACTTAAGGGCCCGGGGAGTGGAGCAGGGACCCCCAAAATTCAGAGGCCTCATATATAGCGAGTTGATCGTTTACTTGGAGGTCTATGGTAGTAGTTCGAAGTAGGGTTCGTCTAAGTATCCCAGATCAGGTCATATTTTACGGTTGCTACACTTATCACTATACGCCTGAACCTCCAAGCACCCTGGATACCACTATAAAGCCAAAGACCTGAGTTGGCAGTTTCAGTTGTGATTCGGGGGCGGTGGCGCTGCAGGGCTGACGATCCCAGATTCCCCCACGAGTTCGTGTACTTTGGGATTAAGAGTTTGGGATTGCTGCGGGTTTGGTTTTGGGTTTCGGGTCGTTTGGTGACCAGGGTTTAGGGTTTGGGCTTTGGCACCGGCGTCATCTTCTCACGTTCCCTAAACCCTAAACCCTAAACCCTATGTAAACCCTAACCCTAAACCCTAAACCCCAAGGAAAAGCCTTCCGTCCCTGGTCTCCGCCCTACAAGCCATTTCGGCCGCAGCCCTGACAGACCAGCTGGCGTCAGCGGGTTGGGTTTAGGGTTTTGGGTTTAGGGCTTAGGGCTTAGGGTTTAGGGTTTAGGGTTCAGGCTTCAGGGTAAAGGGTTCAGGGTAAAAGGTTTACCTTAGTATGGGCCCTTAAACGGGATTAGACCTGTAGAGGGTTTTGAATGTTCTCAAGAGCTCAGCCTTTAGGCGAAGCGGCCCTGCAAACATGTGGAGCATCCGCATGCTGACTTTGCGTATGTATATCATTTGCTGCGTACACAATGTACAGAGCGAGACACAGAGAGAGAGAGAGAGGGAGAGAAAGACACACCAATAATAATAATAATAATAAGAAGAAGAATAATAATAGTAACAACAATATCAAGAGTAATGATAGCAAAATCATAGCAATACAAGTAATAATAATAATAATAATATAATAATAATAATATCAACAATAGTAATAATAATCGTCATAATAATAATACTAATAAGAATAACAATAAAACGAGACAAGCGCAGCCAGCAAGGAAAGATCTGGCCCTGGCCGGGAACCTTCCTTTAGGGGGTGACATAAGTCTACTTGAAGGTTCATGGGTGGGGGTATATGTATGGTAACCCTAAACCCTAAACCCTAAACCCTAAAATCTAAACCCTAAACCCTAAACCCTAAACCCTAAACCCTAAACCCTAAACCCTAAACCCTAAACCCTAAACCCTAAACCCTAAACCCAAACCCTAAACCGTAAGCCCTAAACCCTAAACCCATGATAGCCCTCCTTATAACTAAGTAGGTGCAGTGGGCACCGAAATACCGGGAGCCATCAGAAATTGCCAGGGTTTGGCATCCATGAGTTATCCCAGAACAGCCGACCCTAAGATGTACATAGGCCAGGGTTATAAGTATGGCAACTGTACCTACAGCCCTGGGATACTTGTATCCTGACTTATACTAGGACCGGGAGTAGGCCCTTTTTTCCATTTTTTAGGGTTGGGGTTCCCTTAGAATCCCCTGAAATCCAAAAAGGTACCCCTTTTTATTCCTAGGTTACACCCGGGTCTAGTCTAACTACCCCTGTACCTCCCAGCGTGCCCATAAAGCCTTAGGGTTCAGGTGTGGGTACTCCGGGCTGTCCTGGGCACTGGGGTTCAGAAGGTGGTTTAGGATTTAGGGTTTAGGGCTTCTTCTGACCTGAAGGCACTGACTCACAGGCAACTCCACGCAGCTCTCAACCCGTTGCATCTTCTGATCTATCTGGAGGTTCATGGGATGTTACAAGTACGGTACGGTTATAAGTGCCCTAAATAAGGCTTTGAGTACAGGTACCATACTTATAACCCTACTTATAACTACCCATGACCCTTCAAATACTTCGTGACTTGTCAACCTAAGATGGTGCAAAGCCCGAGGCCCGTGGAGCATTTGCGCGGTTTCTAGCTGAGGCAGGGGGCACATGTCCTGCCTTGATTGCGATTTCGTGATTCATGCATATGCAGTTGCAGCTTTGGCCAGGCTTGAATTGTTTTTCTCTACTTTAATCCCTAGGTTGTGAGATCGCTTCGGAAGCTGCTGTTCCGAAGTTCCAATGCTGTAGAGACGTCGTGTCTCAAGTGCAGCGCCGCATCAGTCTTTCTGTTCAATCTTTAGAAGATTAATTTGAAGCCCACTTGCGGAGCTCTGACAGAAGAGGCGAAACTGACGGGACATACATGAAACCAGAACCTAGACTCCTGCTCCTGCTCCTGCTCCTGCTCCTGCTCCTGCTCCTGCTCCTGCTCCTGCTCCTGCTCCTGCTGCTCCTGCTCCTGCTCCTGCTCCTGCTGCTCCTGCTCCTGCTCCTGCTCCTGCTCCTCCTGCTCCTCCTGCTCCTCCTGCCTCTCCTGCTCCTCCTGCTCCTCTTGCTCCTCCTGCTCCTCCTGCTCCTCCTGCTCCTCTTGCTCCTCCTGCTGCTCCTGCTGCTCCTGCTGCTCCTGCTGCTCCTGCTGCTCCTGCTGCTCCTGCTGCCCCTGCTGCTCCTGCTGCTCCTGCTGCTCCTGCTGCTCCTGCTGCTCCTCCTGCTGCTGCTGCTGCTGCTCCTGTTGCTAGTTGGTGCAAAATGCTACTGCTGGCTACTATATGAATTATGACTGCGACTACGGCCCAGTTTGTATGCAAAATCATGGTATCCTTTTGGGGGTCTCTATTACAAAGCCACCTCTCAGGCTGTCGCCTGCTCATGGCTGTGAGGGGGCGAGCTGTTGTTTCTTGGGCTTTCGGGTTTCCGCCCGCATGCAGATTGAGACCATCGGACAAAAATGCACCCAAAAGAGTGCCCACAAGCGGCTGAAAACCAGCTGCATCTCAGCATGCCTCTGATGAGCCGATAGTTGGCGGGCTCCACGCAAGCTTTTATAAGTCGATCTAGGACAGGCGTGCATTTAGGGTTTAGGGTTTAGGGTTTAGGGCTTAGGGTTTAGGGTTTAGGGTTTAGGGTTTAGGGTTTAGGGTTTAGGGTTACTATGATTCACCTTTTTGTTCTTGAATGGCTTAGTTATAGGGTTCAGGGTTTATACGCTCGAGGGTGAGTTCAGCAGGCTTTCGTAACAGGCATGTTTTGCACCTTGTCGGCCCGTGCAGGGTGGGGGGGGTGGGGGGGGTGGGGGAGGGCGCGGGTATTTGGGGGCACAGTATTTGGGTGAATCCAGGAGCCTACATATAGACCACAAAATGTCCTGCAGCGCAAATTCCTTCTGTCTAGTGGCACCTTGGGTCAAAAGGAAGCATAGAGGGAACCTTCTAGAGTCCCATAGGGCAGGTTCGGGTTGGGGTTTAGGGTCAAGAGTCCAGCGTCTAGGGTTCAGGGCCTGGGTGCAGGGTTAGGGCAGGGATCCTAATTCTGTTCCTTGCAGCATGGTTTTGGGTCTAGTAAGGTTGTACATGGCGACTGCCCATGCAGGAACAGCCTCACAGGGGGAACCTTCTGGACTGATTTGCTTGTGGTTTCGTTAGTGTTTCAGGGTTGAGCATGTAGGTCTAAGGCTCATCGCTGCGGCGTGCGTCCGTGCGTCCGTGTGACATTAGCGCAGGGCCAAGAATGACTAATCTCGAGCCCATTCCGTTCAATACTACAGACTGTAGCAGTCCTCCCTAAACCCTAAACCCCCTCAAGCCCTTAACGCGCCTAACCCCTAAAGCCCCTAAAGCCAACGAAACCCCTAACACCCCTAAACCCAAACGCCCCTGAAGCCCCTGACCCCCGAAACCCTAAACCCCCTAAAGCCGCAAACCCCCTAAACCCTAAAGCGCCTAACGCCCGAAAACTCCCAAAGCCTGCGTGAGCCCTGTGAATCCCACTTTTACCTTAATCTAGGACCGGGAGGAGGGCCCTTTTTTCCTTTTTGTTATCTTTGTTTTTTTGCGGTTGGGGTTCCCTTATAACCCCCTTAAAACCAAAAAGGGTACCCTTCTAATCCTAGGTTACTCCCGGGTCTAGCCCTAAACCCTAAACCCTAAACCCCCCTCCCTTCTGGGTCTAGTAATTATGGCCCTGCCATGTTACTCTCGGCGCTGTACATACCAGCATCTCAGCCCCAGGACACCCAGGGGTCCAAACCCAAAGGTCTAGGGGGTTAGGGTTTAGGGTTTGGGGTTTAGGGTTAAGGGTTAGGGGGTTAAGTGTTTAGGGTTTAGGGTTTCGCGTTTAGGTCTGTGCTTTTGATGTCCTTGAACCCCTTGGGTAGGGTGTGCGAAGATCGGCGTTTCATCCATGTAGACGGGGATCCCGTGAATAAAACCGGAATTACGAACAGGACTTACCCAGGACAGGGTGGGGGGGGGGGGGGGCAGAGAAGTGATTTTCTGAGAGACGGCTTGGACGTTCATGGGTAGTTATAAGTAGAGTTATGAGTGCCCTAAAAACAGAAAACCCTAAACCCTAAACCCCAAACCGATACTTCTACTTGTACTTACTCATGAACCTCCAAGTGGGTGTGCGAGCGCGTTACTCGTAGGATGGGATCCCTGTGATCCTCACCAGAGTGCTCCAAAGTGTCTCTGAGCAAAAAACCCAACACTTCGGGTTTAGGTTTCAGGGTTTAGGGCTTGGGGTTTGGGTGTTAGGGTTTAGGGTTTAGGGTTTAGGGTTTAGGGTTTAGGGTTCAGGGTTTAGGGTTTAGGGTTTAGGGTTTAGGGTTTAGGGTTTAGGGTTCCCCCAGTCCTTCTGCATTCTGCTTTGTGCAAGAATGCCTTGGCTTGAAGAAAGCGACCGGTCTTGAGAGTAGCCTTGAATCCCCTGGTTTAGGGTTTAGGGTTTAGGGTTTAGGGTTTAGGGTTTAGGGTTTACGGTTTAGGGTTTAGGGTAAGGGGTTTAAGGTAAAGGTTCATGGGTAGCTAGAACTAAGGCTATAAGTATGGTAACTGTACGCATAACCTATATTTAGGGCCCTTTCAACCCTACTTATACTTGCCCATGAAACCTCCAAGTACCTTAGGCCCTCAGCCCACAAGTACCTTAGGCCCTCAACCCTAAACCCTAAACCCCTAACCCCTCTAACCCTAAGGGTCCCTACCCAGGGGAATACTTGGACAGGGACTTTGGGGCCCAAGTATATGGGGGCTTACGATAATAGGGGACCCCCAAGAAAAAACCCAAATAGTAGGATCCTCTGATGATACGGACCAGAATAGGGTACGTACCCCCAACATCGTGAACCCCATGCAATAGTCCTAAACCCTAAACCCTAAACCCCAAACCCTAAACCCTAAACCTTAAACCCTAAACTGGTCTTCAGACGGAACGCTTCAGAGGCTTTCAAGGGCCAACCGAGCATACCTTGTTGACACGGCCCTTCATCGTGGCGACACGATGTCTTCGAATGCTTTAGACACGCATGCTTCGCCTAAGCCTGAATAACTGAGGTTAGGGCTTAAAGTGGTTAGGGTTAAGGGGCTTGAATAACTAAGGTAAGGGTGTAAACCCGTTAGGGTTTAGGGGCTTAGAGTTTGGGAGGGTGCCGGGGTTTTGGTTTTGGGGGCCATCTTAGAACCCAGTGTGTTCCCTTCTTTTGGGCTTCGGTTCCCATATAAGTATAAACCTTTCTGAACCCAAACAAGGGTACCCTTTCGATTCGCCGGATACTCCCAGACGTCGTGTTGGGCTCAGGGTATTCGGTTCCATTTTTAGAGGGTTCAGCAGGAGATGAAGAAACTGAGGGAGGGTCTATATAAGGGTTTAGGGTTTAGGGTTAAGGGTTTAGGGACAGGAGTTATATATATGGGGGAAGCACATTAAGGGCTCCTTATAGGGGTCCCTCCTGAAACCCCTTCAGGAGATGTACGTCCTGATACGAACAGTCCTTAATCGGGATTAGAATAGTGGGTACTAGAGTCCCGATTAAGAAGCTGTTCGTATAAGGGGAACATCCCAACCCCAAACACGAATAGCCCTAAGCCCTAATAGCCCTAAACCCTAAACCCTAAACCCTAAACCCTAAACCCTAATAGCCCTAAACCCTAAACCCTAAGCCCTAAGCCCTATACCCCCTTTAAAGGAGATGTTCGTCCTGATTGAGAAAGCCGACGTTGGGGCGCTGCTTCGGGCGATCCCGCGCCAGCGCCTACCCTCCGCCGAGGCCCCGAACCCCCCCCCCCCCCCCCCCCCAAACCCAAACACGAACTGCATGGTTTGGGGTTTAGGGTTTAGGGTTTGGGGTTTAGGGTTTAGGGTTTGGGGTTTAGGGTTTAGGGTTTAGGGTTTAGGGTTTAGGGTTTAGGGTTTAGGGTTTAGGGGCCCTAAACCCTATACGCCCTATACCCTAATCTTCGGGACGAGGTCTTAGACGGTCTTGGACAGAGGGCTCAGGCTTGGGGGTATATACTGGAGTTGCTCTTCAGAGCGTTCTATTTCAAGCATGGTTAGGGTTTAGGGTGCAGGATTCAAGGGTTCAGGGTTTAGGTTTAGGGTTTAGAGTTTAGGGGTTTAGGATGTGGTTCTCTCCGAAATAGGTCAGCGACTTCGCTGTTGCGTAGCCGGGAAGCCAGAATCTCTTGTGACAGCTTTTGGCAGCGTGTTGGGTTTTCATTCTTGGGCTGGGGTTTTCTGGATTAGACCTGTAAACCCTATAAGTCCTACAAAGGCCACACCCTAACCCTAAACCCCAAACCATCCCAAACCCGAAACCCTAAACCCTAAACCCTGAAACCCTCCCCGCCACGCAGGATTCTGATCCCATCTTCGACCGCCAGTTCTCCCCTACAGGTGTCCTCCCAGCGCGCCTTGGGAAGCTTCTGTGGGGTTTAGGGTTTGGGAAGTAAGGTTTAGGGTTTAGGGCTTAGGGCCAAGGGTTTAGGGTTTAGGGTACTACCCTAGGCCGTTTGGCTGTACTGGTCAGGTCTTGCTGGGCTCGTGTGATTACAAGTAGGCCTGAGTGGCGCATTTAGCTGAAGCTCTTGCCTTCGTG